GTTGAAAGGGTTAACACATAACAGCTTTGGATTTTAATAAGATTAAAGAAAAATAATCTGTATTTTATCAAAGATTTATACACTGTTTAAATACATTAATTACAGTATATATGTAAGAATTCCGTGGTATTTTCATGAAACAATATAGTAAAATTTGCTACAGTGAACAAGGAATATGAAGTGATATTACTAGGTCTTACTGTTGCATCCCTTATAATACACAACATATCTGAATTTATCCCATAAATATGTCTTTTTTCATCACCGAGAACCGATGCATTAACTATACCATAAAGCAGTACATTGTATTAACTTTGATTAACCGATTATGACAGTAAAATGATTTTTAAATTTTGTATTAATTTTGTTCTTTATATTTGAGGTAAATTTTTAATAAGTTGAACAGCCAACAGCTGATTTATCTCCATTGTTATCTGAATATGTTAACCCTTTCACCACTGTAGACCATAATGGACTCATCCAGATCAATGCATGGTAGAGTCTACTAAAGTTACATAGGGGTGAAAGGGTTAATAAAAAGAAGCAAAGAAAGTTGCAAGATATTCCATATTTCCTTAAGGTATCTTCTCATGTTCGTTTGTGTTTCAAAATTAGACACCTTTCATACCCTAATTTGGGAAGGCTAGTGTACTATCGATGGTTATGATAACATCACAATTACAATAATGGCATGATCTTCAGAACAAAGTCTTGGGTTTCATAACTCAAAGACATTGTAAGAAGTTTTATATATACGCAGTACTATAGTGGCAATGAAGAGCAATTGTAAATATTTCCGAAAAAACTTTGTTGCAGGATTTCTGGAAGTGTGAAAGCCTTGATTTGTGAACAGAATTCTAGTAACACTATCCTCAATGCATGCAAGAATTTCAAAAGATGTGTTCATCAATTTAAACTGCTCAAATGTTGAGGAGGTACTTGGAGATTCCACATGACCAGCCTGGCCCTCAAAGGAAATCTCTCACTTGCAGTTTTACCATTCCGAGGTCGGGTCTGTAAGGTTATGTTGTTGGGATGGTCGGACTGATTGATTACGATGATGGAGACCTATTAATTAGGGTTGGCCATTACTCCTAAAGGATTCGCCCCAGCCTAACTCTCGCCTGTCTCGTCCATTAGTCGGTGTGTTTTCATTGTTAATGATATGTTTTCTGGTGACAGGAGGTCGTTAAACCTGAAATTACCATTAACAAAGCAGTTCCTGGAGATTAATTGGAAGTTTTGTATTTCATTTTCTGGATATAAACTCGAAGTTTCTTAATTTGCATCTGCAAGAATAATAAGGAAGGTTTAGTATTTCATTTCCTAGAGAGTAACACTGGAGTTCGATCATATTTCCTTTCTGAGAGATATGGAGATATTTTATATCATAAGATTAATTAGTGGTTTTTAATGCTTCATTTCCGAGAAAGTTGAACTAAAAGTTTTTTGCTTCATTTCCTATAGAGATATAAGTTTAATATTCATTTTTTTCTGCAGATTAAGGATTGAGAACAGTTTTATTTTATTTTGGAAAGATGTATAGATGTTTTTTATATTTAATTTCCTCTGTTTTATATTACATTAGTACATTAATACAAGGACACATCAACATTATATGTTGAATCAAAGTTCCATAGCAGATACTTCATTTTGCCACTTGGAACTTGGAGCCGCGGCGGCTGTGTTGTTAGGTACCGGACTCTCTAAAATCACTTGCCCTCTACCACTGGGTCGTGGGTTTGGGGCCTACATTTAGTAGTCGCAAGGTACTGGCCGCAGGTCGATGGGGTTCCCCCCCCCCCCCAAGTACTCCAGTTTAAAAAAATAATTAAATGATTAATTCTGTTGTTGATGAGTGTGTGGCATCATCTTTTTGTGAATTGCTCTTACCTCCTCTCCCAAGAATGGTGATATGAAGAAAAGATATCTCTAGATGTCCTTTGTCCTTGCAATATTTTGCTGCTTTAAATTACAGAAAATTTTGATAAAAAATGCCTTTTTTATTAATTGGGCCAGTGAAGTATAAACAGATATTCTGACAATTAATATTTGGAATTTACAAATGGATAAAAATTTGTTACCTAGAAAATTTTAAAGGCAGGTTGAATATTTGTGATTTCCATGCTATGACGTTATATTTTTTCCATTGAGCCGATCCCTGAGAAACACCTTATAGTGATGGGTATGGACCAGCTGTGTCGCCAGGTACCGGTCCTGTCTCATATAAAACCTGATGACAAAATAGTTGGAAAGTTTACTGTCAGACAGAAGCATCTCTGGCTGAGATGTGTAATTTCATGTCTGTCACCCACGAGATTTGACGATGGAACTGTCTCGTCATTGATCTAAGTCTGGTCCATTAGTGAAAAGAGGATTGCCAGGTTTGATTTGCTCGCTATGACTCCTAGCTTTCTGTGTCTGCTGTACAGGACAAGTTTTATGACGTTACTTAATCATTTTGCTGTGACATAAAACATTTGGGGACAGAGTTACTGTGACTGTCTACGTATTATATATAATCTCCTGTTAGTCACCAATCCACCGTTGTTTATAACTCTAGAGCTAGTCACCCATTATTATTTGTTACCCTGAGTCACAGGTTTGACCATGCAACATCTGTTTGGGTTTCTTTAGGTTACAGAATTATTCTGGTAGCAACTGTTGATTAATCAACATTAAACTCCACCCTTCAGTTTAGTTTGGGTGCGCAGTGGATAGCGCACTTGCCTTTCACCAAGGGTCTTGATAGGATGTGAAAAGGTATGGGGTCACCTGTCCTGACAACCACATGGGTTTTCTTTAGGAACCCGATTTTCACCCACATCGAGACCTCCTGCAAGCTAACAGAAAAAGCACTGCTTCAGTTAAATTCCAACCAAGAAAGCATTGCTTCAGTAAAATTCCAACTGAGAAAGCATTGCTTCAGTAAAATTCCAACCGAGAAAGCATTGCTTCAGTAAAATTCCAAAAGAAAAAGCACTGCTTCAGTAAAATTCCAACCGAGAAAGCACTGCTTCAGTAAAATTCCAAAAGAAAAAGCATTGCTTCAGTAAAATTCCAAAAGAAAAAGCATTGCTTCAGTAATTTCCAAAAGAAAAAGCATTGCTTCATTAAAATTCAAACAGAGAAAGCATTGCTGAGACTTGATAACACAAAATATAATGTCTTTGTTTTCTATTTACACCTAAAATATATCAAAATGATTATTTTCAGGGGTTATTACCTTTAAGAGGTTTTGTGTTTTATTTAAAAAAAAAAATTGTTAGCTTCATACAATAGCAGTTTATTCAACTAGCTATGCGGATAACACATTTTGAAAATTGATGATGATCGTTGAAGAAAGCACTGAGACCCTGAAGGAATATATACGGAGATGTATAAGAAATAAGATTATAACTGACGTTAATGCAGTTATAAGTATTGGTGATGCTCAGTAATAGCCTGCATCAATACCCTCAGACGTCCCACCCCACGGTGTTGAGTTTTGTATGCCAGCATCATGTTGTGAACAGCTGAAGATATATTTAATTACCTTCACAAAAGTACAACTGTCAAACAAATTTGTCTCGTAGATCCAGCCTTGTCAGCCAAGTTACTTTGACATTGGCGCCGATGCAGCCATTTAAGCGTGATGTTTTCAGAGTGTTGATTCTGGGGTCAGGAATGTTAAATGAAGGATGTAATAGATTGGTAATCACTTGTTTCAACCTGCAATACTGCAGCTTCAATTCTCCTGCCTTATTGAATAGAAATATGGGTGAAAATTGTATTTGAAAAAGTTGTCTATGAAAAATTAAGTTTCATTGAAATAACGTGTGAGATATGTTTTACTGTCATTCTAGCTTCTTGTCTGAAGTTTGAAATGCCATTATATTAAGGCAGACGGAGCTGACAGAATGGAAGTTTTACCAATAATTTTAGGAAACGTGATGCGAGATGATGCACAAATGATAAAGAAGCAAACAATTTCATTGTTATATATGCAACACTTTCGAATATTTATAAATGATAAAAACAAAATATATAAAAAGTTTAAGACTTTACTTGACAGAAATGGATACTCTGTATTAAATTTTCCAGTTTTATTTGTCTCTCCTAGGTTCTCTTAATACAGAGACTGACAAGTGATGGTTGTGAAGTTTATGTGTCAGTTGATTATTTTAAAACTTCAAAAGTTTAGATAACCATTATGACCTGGAATCATCAGGAATTGGGGAACATTTTCCTGTCTCATTGTTCATATATATGTTAACCCTTTCACCACTGTAGACCATAATGGACTCATCCAGATCAATGTATGGTAGAGTCTACTACAGTTACATAGGGGTGAAAGGGTTAATTGGAAGGGAATAGCACATCATGATATTAGTCTCTCATCATGATGAAAATCACTGTAACTCATTTACCCCTGAAGTGTCATAATGAACTATTTCAACCATTGGATTGGAAGAGTTCAAATGTGTATTCAGGGGTAAACGAGTTTAAAAATTGTCTCACCAGGTACTACAGTTATATGCCATCAGTATTATTATGTGACATCATAATCGATGTATCTACCAATGAAAACATGTCACATGTAGGGGTTAGGTCATTAAGTACACATGGTGCTAAACAAAATTCTTGTGTAATTTTGCACATTGTAATTTTGTACTTTAACTCATTCACCCCTGAAGACACATTTGAACTCTTCCAATTCAAAGGTTGGAATAGTTCATTATGAAATTTCAGGGGTGAATGAGTTAATATCATTGGAAGGAGTCGTCCATATCTTTATCTAAGGAATATTTTTTAAGACAATCTCTGCTAATTTAAGTTTGGGATTTCGCTGTGATGGATTGATGGTCTTTCAGGGCTGATTGTTCGGTATTAAGTTGTATCAGTGGAATATAGTATATCAACAATGTGTTGAATCCCATTGGTATAACTAAAACTGACTTATAAGAGCATTCTTTTACATGAAATTGTACTTATCTCTTCAAAAATTTATATATTTTCAGATTCCGAAAATACGTATCTTAGTTTTGCCAACCCCAACTATCAGTTTGAAGACCGTATGAACTCTAATATGAAGAAGAGCGGAAGTGAGGACCGCGATTCCTGTATCTTCGACGATGTTGATGACATCAGCACGTTATCCCTGCTCGACCAGAAATCCAACAAAAACGGTACTACAGAAACCAACAATAAAAACTATACCCCAGAAAACAAACGTCTCATTTCTGATTCTTCCAGTGAAAATCTGAGCTCTTCAGAAGGGGAGGAAGAATTGTCTAGTGACGAAGACAATGAAAATGAGTACATCACAATGTACGAAACTAAAAAGCTGACTGAAGATTTGAACCGAGCCAATGAGAAGGACTCGGCCCAGAAGGAGGCGAATGATAACGCGGGCAAGAAGAACCGAGGGTTCCTGGGATACTACAGCATGCTGGAGTCAAAGGCCAGGGAAAAGCAGGTTAACAATATGCTGAGTCCAGACACTGAGGATGAGCCGGAGAGCACCATGACAACGCCTAGTGTTGAGAACCTCCGCAAACTCAAGTAAGTAACTGAAGTAAGGGTTGCGAGTTCGAGTCACATCACGGCACTGTGTTGTATCTTTGAACAAGATACTTTACTCTGCTTGTTCCGGTCTACTCAGCTGTAAATGAGGACGTGGTTGAACAGTGCTAGAATTGTATAATGCTAGCTGTGTGCGCCAAAGTGGCAGCACCCGCTGTATGCTCCCCAGGGAGTTGAGAAAGATAGTGGCTGGTTGCAAAAGGCCCTATAACCATGGGTAATAATGTGTGAACCGCTCTGAGACGACCTAGGAGCTAGGTTGTGATAAAGTGGTATATAAGAACCTTGAATAATTACTATTAAAGCTGACCACTGATATAGAGGTGTCAGAAGGGATAAAATGGGGCTGAGGGGTAGGGTTTGATGATTTCTTGAGATTTAGTTCACAAGAAGATTGGATTTCTTATGGCTATTTTCCCTTTTCCACATAGAGCTTTTATACCTTCATGACAGTTCCAAAGCTTTATTGACTTTTAAATAGTATACTCCTGTGTAAAATATTGAAAAGAGCACCTTGTGGTAAATTAAAAGATTTCCTTTTAAATTCGTATTTTGTTCTAGATTATAAACACGGTTCAATATTGGACAATGGCCAAACATGAAATTTATCTTCTTTTTTATATATTTATACTATATAATTTGTTATCTCCCCTGTAATGGGATTATCTCCCCTGAAACTGGATTATCTCCCCTGAAACTAGAATTCTCCATAGGACCTTGGTGCTATTTAGACAGATATAATGCATTTTGATGTATATGTCCTGACAATCAAACTGACCTGTCTGGGAAATTTCTGCATCTACATGTTCATACAATTGTCTGGAACTTAGTGAGATATACAAACAACCGTCCATGTGAGTGTCTAGGAGCTAGTGAGATATGGGGATGGCCTTTCATACATTTTACATGGGGTTTAAGTTAGGGTGTGCCTTTAAATGCTGCTAAGATAGCGTTTGTATATTAACATTGTTATAATACAATTCCAGATAATACTTCTTGGTGTATATACATTACCAGTGTTAGATTACCTTTTATTTCGTGCAGAAATATATTGCTGGTCATGCAAGGCAAGGAAGGCAGTCAGTAAATAGCTTTGTCTACTGACAGGCAACAATGTTCTATCTGAATCATATATAGGATCCTGGACCTCTTGTGTTCAATAAACATGGAATATTAGAAATCCAACACCCTCAACACATGCCATCGTATGTGAGACCTGCATGAGAAGTTATAGCAACGACCTGCCTTATCAGGGTATTATATATGGGTAATAAAGATATTGCAATAATGTGTTCCCTGCCCTGGGAATACCAAAGATACACAACACAATACAGATTTATAATTTGGTAATGTTTTGGTTGGGCACCTACTCGCCCAGGCAGTGAGAAAACTGACAGAAGCCTGTCTCCATTGAAATTATTGTCAATAAAGAAAGCATTTCTGTGAGCAGATTTGTTTGTGTAGATTTGATTGAATGTTTGATTATTGCAGTTGTGATTCAGTTTAATGTTTTCTGCTGGTCTGGATCAGCTCGGGTTCAATTTACACCCATGGGCCACTTGTCTTAGATTAAGTTCTGTTGGTCTGATTATCTAATTCACTTGGATCTGATTATTTTAGATTAAGTTCCATGGGTCTGATTTGGGTGGGTGGGGGTTGAGGCAGAATGGTTAAAGGTCGTGTCTTTAAACCCCAAATGATTACTTACCCTCCATCACTGGGCTGTGAGTTCAAGGCCTACTTGGGGCAGTTGCTACTGGCTGCAGGTCGGTGTTTCTTGGGGGTACATGGGTTTTCCTCTACCATCAAAACCTGGTTTGTTATTGAATGACCAAGGCTGTTGATAGGAAGTAAAGCATATATCTGCTTGATCTGATGTGAGTGAAAAAATTGTCTTGTGAGAAAACTCACTGATGTCATGTGAGAAGATTGTGCTTCAAGTAAGAATAATTTCATGTTAGAAGATTTACTAAGGTCAGGTAACCAGGGTTGCCAACTCTCACGGCGTGAGCAAAAACTCACGCTAAAACGTCCTTACTCACGCTAAAACATGTCTCAAGCCACGTGAGCCATAAATCTCACGCATTCGAAAAATAGTCTCCCTCCTCCGTAACTGGGGTCATGGTAGCTTGTGATGACATCATATATCCCATAATTTCTGCCATGTATTGACACCAGATGGTGCTGCTACCTTACGCTGACATTGCCTGTTTGTGGTATATTATATCACTGACTGGCTGTCCTTGACATGTTACTCTACTAAAAACTTCCCTCTCATAAAGCGGTAGCGGGAAAACTGACTGATGTAATCACTTCCAAGCAGCTATCTCAGCATCATGTCATGACACACCTGTGGGCTTTAGAGGACAATTAAGGACACATGTTACCTGTGACATGTAAACTTAAGGGTGTATGCTACCTTTCTTCACATAAATTTTCCCTTCCAAAACAGTTCCACTCTGAACAAGCTTTAAAATGTTGTTAAAGATGGTAATCTCGGGGACTTTAATTTGATTCTTTAAATTTCAATCTAGTTTCACATAGAAACCACACAAAAGAATGCTTATGCTGATAAAACCCTGGTCCTATTCTTCTGAGGTTTTACATGATACTAAATGTATAGTTTTAAGGGAGTTAACTCTTTATATTATCAAATCACAAGTATTTTGTGTAATGTAGCATGTAGCTTACAATAAAGTCTGGCTAATGATATATGTAATAAGTGCTGATTACAATGCTGTGTATTTGTCCTTGGTACATTAAGAATCCCCTTGCTACTTCCAAAACTTGTAACTACACATTTGTAATTGTTTTCCGGCGGCATGACTGTGTCTTTGAAAAATCATTTCTGAAAAGAAGAACATATACCTTGCAGGACTTTTATGAGCTACTTGCTCAGCGAAAGTGTACTGGCAGGGCTTAATTAGTGAACAGTTATATCTAAAATGAAATTAAAGGGAGGTTACTGTGTATACATTAAAACTAAGTGCAGTGGGTCTAGGATCCTTAGTACAAAACCCTTTTTTGAATTGTTGGAGGGCTTTCCGGTTGGTAAGCAGTTTCCTTTAAACAAGATCGACATACTGCAAAAAAAAAACAAAAAAAACAAAAAAACCCATATATAAGGAAAGTCTATACCTGTGTATCGATCAGTCATGTTTATTGTTGGAGGTTTCCAGAGCTTGTCATGAATACCTTGTTTAAATGAGACAGGTGGTAAATGAAATGGATGGTAGATGACACAGATGGTAAATAAGATATGTGGTAAATGAGATTTTTAATACTAAATTTTCCCCGTTTTATTCGATATGCACTATATATATATCTGTATTTTTAGGGGGGAAATATGCACATTTCAAGGTACCACAATCAAATCTCACCAAAATGATGCTATACATTTTTACGTCATTCTTTTCAGGTTTGATTTGAATTCTCCAGACTCCAATGACAGTGGAATCCAGTCAGATGCGCGTTCTGATGACGGTTCGCACCATCATGGCTCCATTAACGATAACATGTACGCGCTTTCCAACAAGACGCCATTGTCGACCAGCTCGTCTATGTCTGCCAGCTCCTCTATGTCTGCCAGTACCTCCAGCTCCATAGAGGAGAAAGAGGACAGCAAGGAGGACGAACAGACACCCACAGGGGTCAGTATACGTGTATAGAACACAATATTAAAGTTCATACAAACCCCACATTGTCAAAAAGGTTCATAAACACTTTCTCCACTTTGTCCTAATAGATTGTAATGTTTTATGAAAGATTCTTAAATGATTAGGTGTTCCAATGTTAACTCATTCACCCCTGAAGACACATTTGAACTCTTCCCATTCAAGGACTGGAATAGTCCATTATGAAATTTCAGGGGTGAATGAGTGAACAAACGAGAAAGTGTTAAGTGTCTAGGCTGTTCTATTGTATCCCGTTCAGTCCTAAGTTTTGGCTTGACTCAGCATTAGACAAAACGGTATTCTTGTCAAGGTCATTTTAGATTGTTTCACGTTATAAATAAGAATGGTTGAAACATACAGCAGGCAGGGTGCCATTTGCACTAAAACAATATTCTGGAAAAAAGTAATCACATAAGTCCTTTTTTGTAATAGCTTGTTGAAGATAAACCAAGTGTTCGGTTCTCCTAAGCAGGTCAGTGTATATGACCACAGGGGCCGAGTTGGGACAGAGGCTGGGAGGCTATGAGGTCATGTCTATGGAAGGTCTAATCCTCAGATATTAACAATACCCACATGTACCATATGAAAGAAATAAGCAATTACAAAAAATAGTGTCTGTCTGAAGGACAACCCAAACTGCATGGAGTTGACCTTGTGATCGCTCTGTCACTAGCACACTGGGGGGGGGGGGGGGGGAGAGGGGGTCTATAGACTGCATGAACACCACTGGTACCTCAACCCCTATCTAACAAGTTCTCTCCATTTTTGCATCTGTATCTGTCACTGACATCATTTTTCCTACATCCTCATAAGTTTAATCATAATCACATGGAGGTCGGCGATATACAATATTAACTCAATGTTACTATTTTTAAAAACAGCTTATTAACGCATTCACCCCTGAAGACACATTTAAACTCTTGCAATTCAAAGGATGGAATAGTTCATTATGAAATTTCAGGGGTGAATGAGTTAAATCACCTTGATTCAGTATTATATATTCTGGAGTTTGATAATGATCTAAAGGCAAAAAGTCAAATGATGAACAGGGAATAAAACTTGGATAATTATTAAAACTCACTCTTGAAACAGTTCCCCCTCACATCCCTCTTCATCAGATCAAGGAAGAAATGATACATAACAAAATATATGTACATCCATTAGTAGGAATCTTGAGTACCAGTAAAGGGGGGTCGCAGTGGCCAAGTGGTTAAGGCGTCTGACATTCTGCTACCACTAGCCCTCCACCACTGGGTCGCGGGTTCGAGGCCTATCTGGGGCAGTCGCCAGGTACTGGCCGTAGGTGGGTGGTTTTTCTCTGGGAACTCTGGCTTTCCTCTACCAACAAAACCTGGCATGTTCATAAATGACCATAGCTGTTAAAAGGACATAAAACACAAACAAACCAAACCAAAAACCAATAAAGGACTGGATCTCAGGCACTGTAAGAACATAGGAACTTTGATAACGTGTAGATTATAGATGAAAGAATTTTAATACAAGTCGTGTTGATCTCCTTCCCCTAGAGAAAGATGCATGCTTAATAGTTACTTAATTCTATTTTGGGTTTTTTCTGTAAATAAAATCGGATTGGGCCATAATAAGATTGAGGGACTAGAAATCTATCTTTTGTTTATTTGCAACAGCACTTTGCTTTTATTGTCTAAAAATAGATAATGGCAATGCGGGTTACCATTAAAACAGCCACTGCTATTTTACTGGTGTTGATCGGTTATCGCTGCATTTTTGTTTCGTCCCTTGTGAGGTGATTAGGTGTACGTAGAAGTCACTATGATGATTCCATGTCTCCAACGGTGGAAGTTTCTGTCTGGCCACTCATCAAGGTAGTCTTCAAGTTTGGGAAACACAAGGGATGCTTTACATAATCACATTAGTATTGTCCTTGGCTGAAAGAGATGTCATGAAGCATTGTACTTAGTTTGTCATGTTACAGTGGCTGCCGTCTTAAGGGAGTAGTTAACACATTCACCCCTGAAGACACATTTGAACCCTTCCAATTCAAAGATTGGAATTGTTCATCATGAAATATCGGGGATAAATGAGTTAACTGAAAGGATACCTGAACACTAATGCATCTTATTGTGGATTTCCGATTAATGCATTTCATATTTCCATCCATCAGGTAGAGCTTATCTCACACAGAAATTAACCTGTCTCTCAATGTTGCATAAGACAGTAAGCTGACACTTTTAAGTCTATTTTTGTTTGCCTTCAAACTTTTCTAATTTCACTTAATTGGCACAATATGCCTCTGTGAGTAAACAATGTCATAGCTTGCTAGGGTAAAGGGCTTAGCTGTTTGTTCACAAAAGACCTTGACCTTGTGCCAGAATTAAACCTTCTAACAAATATTTGTCTAGTACTGCAAGGCCTGGAATATTGAAATTTGCCACAAAGCTTATTGAGGTGAATAACTAAAAAGTTTGTTCAAATAAATTACCCTGAAATACATTCAAGATCACAGGTAAAAGGTGTTAGAATATTTAAATTACTTAAAACTTAAGAGACTACGATGTCCAGTCTGGACTTATGACCCGTAAAAAAACATGGGCTGACATACCTGGTAACAAACCCATCTGCTACTTTTGACATGTTTTCATGCAAAGGCCCCCTTGGGCTTATCACTGGTGAACTACGGTAATGATATGTGGTACATTTTAGTATTAGGTCAAAGTATTGGTGGATTTAATGTTAGGTCAAAGTGTTGGTACATTTTAGTGTAAGGTCAAAGAATTGGTGAATTTAGTGTAAAGTCAAAGTATCGGTACATTTTAGTGCAAGGTCAAAGTATTTGTGGATTTTAGTGTAGGGTCAAAGAATTGGTGGATTTTATTGCAAGGTCAAAGTATTTGTGGACTTAGTGCAAGGTCAAAGTATTGGTGGATTTTAGTGCAAGGTCAAAGTATTTGTGGACTTTGTGCAAGGTCAAAGAATTGGTGGATTTTAGTGCAAGGTCAAAGTATTTGTGGAATTAGTGCAAGGTCAAAGTATTGGTGGATTTATATATAATTAGTGCAAGGTCAAAGTATTGGTGGATTTTAGTATCAGGTCAAAGTATTGGTACATAAGCATTACCCGATTGGTTCTTAAATATTCCTTTCAAGAAATAACTATAGTTAAACTAAACAGATGAAGAAGAAGGAACAGACTTTTTTTTTTTTTTTTTTTTTAAAGTCTGGTTGTCATAGAAACCATAGAATTTCAGTGAGACAGACTGTACAAATACCAGTACTTACCTTAATCCAACCTGATAACTCAAATTCTCATTTAAAATTCAAATCGCCAAAGCTCAATGTTAAAGTAAGCATTTAATGACGGACAGATCCTGCTTAAAACCCTTTCTTGTCTAGTAGCTGTCTTTGGAGAGGGAACCATAGGGATCATTTGTACAGGGAAAACCATCTAAAATGTTAAGCGCAGATCATCAAATGACCGTTATAAGTGAGACACTGATATATACCACCTCCGTCTGGTACAGTATAAATGGTGGCTGGATGTTACAAAGCTATTTATATGTAATGGCGGTTCAGCCAAGTTTATATCGTAACATGTAAGTGAATTGATTACACGGCCACCGATCTTGCTTTCTGTTGGATACGGTAACTAAATGATTACATAATGAACCCACCGGTGGTTAGATTCGATGAATAATTACTGACGATGTTTCATTTGTTACCGCATCCACATCAGGTGTCTGACTTGAAGAAAATTAGCCTGTCAGGTTTGTGATAGGTGTTGGACTTGTAGCCTGATAAATACATGGTTAGGGGGTTACAGTACATGGCCCTGGCCAGTTCCTTCCTTGTCTTCCATTAGGTCTGGTGAGGGGAATACAGTACATGGCCCCGGCCAGTTCCTTCCTTGTCTTCCATTAGGTTAGGTGAGAGGATTACAGTACATGGCCCTGGCCAGTTCCTTCCTTGTCTTCCATTAGGTCAGGTGAGGGGATAACAGTACATGGCCCCTGCCAGTTCCTTCCTTGTCTACCATTAGGTCAGGTGAGGGGATTACAGTACATGGCCCCAGCCAGTTCCTTCCTTGTCTTACATTAGATCTGGTGAGGGGATTACAGTACATGGTCCCGGCCTGAGTTCCTTCCTTGTCTTCCATTAGGTCTGGTGAGGGGATTACAGTACATGGTCCCGGCCAGTTCCTTCCTTGTCTTCCATTAGATCTGGTGAGGGGATTACAGTACATGGTCCCAGCCAATTCCTTCCTTGTCTTCCATTAGGTCAGGTGAGGGGATTACAGTACATGGCCCCGGCCAGTTCCTTCCTTGTCTTCCATTAGATCTGGTGAGGGGATTACAGTACAGCTGGCCCTGGCCAGTTCCTTCCTTGTCTTCCATTAGGTCTGGTGAGGGGATTACAGTAAATGGCCCCGGCCAGTTCCTTCCTTGTCTTCCATTAGATCTGTTGAGGGGATTACAGTACATGGCCCCGGCCTGAGTTCCTTCCTTGTCTTCCATTAGGTCTGGTGAGGGGCTTACAGTAACTGGCCCAGGCCAGTTCCTTCCTTGTCTTCCATTAGATCTGGTGAGGGGATTACAGTACATGGCCCTGGCCAGTTCATTCCTTGTCTTCCATTAGATCTGGTGAGAGGATTACAGTACATGGCCCTGGCCAGTTCCTTCCTTGTCTTCAATTAGGTCAGATGAGGGGATTACAGTACATGGCCCAGGCCAGTTCCTTCCTTGTCTTCCATTAGGTCAAAAGTATTGGTGTACAGGTCAAATGTGAAAGGTCAGATCTGGAAAAGAAGCCAGGTCAAGGTCAAGATTACATGAATGTCAGTTCAAGGTCAAGTTTTGGAAAGAAATCAGTTCAAAGTCAGGCTTGATTTGATGAGAGGTGGATTTCGGTGGTTTTAATAGGTCATAAATTCGTTTACATTCATGCTAACTTAATTATCTGCCTGTTAAGCACATTTGAAATTGCTCGTAGGTTCATTTGAGATAATTTTATAATTCTAATTCTATAAATCATATGTAATTGTAACGATAAGAAATCAAACAAAAATGTGAAATTAAATTTCAAAGAATTTTATTGTCAGCACATCGGGTCCAAAACAATTTCTTTGTCAAGACATCAGGTATAAGTTTTGACAATGGTTCATTTCATCACCAGGGATGTTTCTTTGTGAAGCACTCGGGTTTAATTACAAACAGAGGCCTACTGAAGGCCAAGTATGTAAATAGGTAAGCAGTTATTTTGAGTTTTAGTGACGTTGAAAACCCAGTTCATCTGCATAACTCTATAGAGTATCTTCAGGTGCCACAGAGAAACTTAAATGTCTGCACAATCCACACTTGTAGAAAACAGGTATACACATCAGTCTTGAAGGTGGAGCCAAGAATTGTAGATATTAATGTAAATAATGATGGTTTGAAGAGCTAAGCCTTGGTCATAATTTGATGGATATTATAACCAATATTTCTGGCCAAGAAACTGTTACTGTCGTCTGTTGTGCGATAACCTAGGTCATTTCCGAGGGAGATACAGGCGTTTTACGATCCCCTTCTGTGGTCGTAACACAGTGCCGGTGGGACACCCAGACACTTGTGTGTCTGGTGAGCAGATTATCTATATCTCTGTCAAACATCAGCGGTCCGACTCTCGGGTAATAAAAATGTCCTAATAAGGAGATACTGTTGAGGTTAGATTATCTATAAAATATCCCAAACAAGGTCAATATAAATAATGACTATGAAAGTGGCTGATGAATACTTAATAGTCACAGACCCTTTTAATCCACCTGATCAGCTGTTTCCTGTCAAAGCAGGTTCTCCCCAAGTGCATTTAGGTTTCAGACCATCTAACTCAAGTACAGTTCCAATGACCTTCGAGAAAGATTACATAAGATGGTAGCAATAATTCTAGCTTTAACACCAAGATCATGTAGAAATAACACTGTTATACTGTGCTATTCCTTTTCCATTTGACATCTACCAATAGTTTATCAGCCTGTAAGTACTCCTGTTTTCCCATGGTTTTTTTTTGGGCTCCTTGTGTTAAACTCCTGTAGAAATCACCTTTTTGATATACAGGCAAACTCGATCTAGCTCCTTAAATTTAATTGCAAAAATTCTGCTGAGAAAAATTTAGGTTTTAATTTGTCAGATGTGGTAATCCAGTACCCCAGTTTTACTTACATGTATATCGTAGCAAGGTGTATCATAGAACCATCATACAATTAGTACCTGATCTATTTTCCTCTAAACTCTGGTTTTGTTAATTTACAATAGCTTGCAGATTCTTTCAGAATCATTGCTGACTAATTTCAAAATTGTTGTAATATGACTATAACACTGCAGCCTCGATACTCCAGGGGTTACGCTCACTTTCGCTCTCTCCACCACTGGAATATGTCATAGCAAAATTGAAGGCATGCGGCTACCTATTTGATTGGTGTCGGGTGAGAAAACCTGACCAATCACTAGGCTGATACTTGTTCTTTGAAGATAACAGAGGAAGGATGTAATGCCCGACTTCAAAGCCAATAAGTTTTACGTTATGCAACCTGCAAGATCATTTTGATGTACATCAAAGGATCAAACTAGTATTCTTGTTTCATCCACAAGGTGCTGCACACTGAGCCTTCCATTTTGCTATGACATATATTCCAGGGGTGTAGAGAGCGAAAGTGAGCGTAACCCCTGGATACTGAGGATGGTCACACTGCAGTGTATTTGTATCTCTCTATCAAAACATTATCTATGTTTATGGTTGTAAATGGTTGGTACTTAGGATAAGTGAGTTTAAGTCACGCTGAGTCTGACATGCTGCAAAACACAGGTATATAACAAATTAAGGTTAAATTGGCTTAGAAAATGGTCCCTAGTTGGGGAACTTTGAATCATTTAGATTTGAAGCCGATTAAAGCTTATAAGGATTTTATGGAGGGTATACCTATGAGGCCTGGAGTACTGGCTGAAATACCAAGGTTGCATTGGTATGGACTGAGAACCTCTTGATCAATACACTACAACACATTAGTAGGCAATGTAGATTTTATTTGGAGTCAAATTCATGGCAATGCTATTAAACATGATGGATTCTATTTATATAGCATCAGTATCTATACATTTGCGGATTTAGAAATAACGGATATAACGTGTTTATGCGCGTATCGGGGCTGAGTACTGTATACTTGGTTTGTATTTCCCAGTCTTGTGTCAACTCATTCACCCCTGAAATTTCATAATGAACTATTCCAACCTTTGAATTGGAAGAGTTCAAATGTGTTTCCAGGCCGTGAATAAAGTAAGCTTCAGTATGACCCACAGTATGGGCGGCTCTTGACTATGCTGTACGATGGCCGTATGGCATTTTGTGTCAAACAGGATCTATGTAGGTTTCTTTGAGGTTTTGCATCTAGAGGGCAGCGTTACTGTGTACTTTATATTGGTACTGTTGGAGTTTTTACTACAGGGATGTATATAGAAATCTATACAGGACATATTACTCTTCCAAGTGGTTATAGTTTCTTACACAAACATCTAGACAACATTGATTGAACTTTCACAAACATCTAGACAACATTGATTGAACTTTCACAAACATCTAGACAACATTGATTGAACTTACACAAACATCTAGACAACATTGATTGAACTTTCACAAACATCTAGACAACGTTGATTGAACTTTCACAAACATCTAGACAACATTGATTGAACTTACACAAACATCTAGACAACATTGGTTGAACTTTCACAAACATCTAGACGACGTTGATTGAACTTTCACAAACATCTAGACAATGTTGATTGAACTTTCACAAAGTTGATTTAACTTTCACAAACATCTAGACTATATTGATTGAACTTTCACAAACATCTAGACAACATTGATTGAACTTTCACAATCATCTAGACAACATTGATTGAACTTACAAACATCTAGACAACATTGATTGAACTTTCACAAACCTCTAGACAATGTTGATTGAACTTTCACAAACATCTAGACAACATTGATTGAACTTTGTATTAGTAGTTTCTATCAAAATATTTTTGGTTTTATTTTTAACTTATGAATGTATGCATTTATAGTTCAGAATTTGAACTTTTTGGAAGAAAGGTTTTCCGACAATAATTGAGCAGTGCATTATATATGAATGTAATTGATAGATTTAAGATGACTCAAACAGTTTCTGTCATCAACAGATATTGATGTTTGATCAATAACCATTGTTCCCGGTAATTTTGCCCAAGTAAATTTATCAATTGTCATCCAAGGAATGCCAAACATTTGTAACAGTTTGTTTTACATGGATACATAACAAAGTTTATGATATCGTTTCTGTTCCCTCTGTGCTGAATTCTCCGCTCCTCTGACTAGTGATCATAGTCTGTGTTTATCTATGCATTTTCATTAGGAAAACAGGCGGCAATATATATGACATAACAATTAATTGAAGCGATCCTATTATCTATTTCAGAAAAGGGTTTAGGGTATTTCTACCTCTATTCATGGTGCTCAGCACAAGTGAAAATAGGATACAAATGGAATTTACTCGTGATCACTATAAAAGCAATGAAATACTTTTTAAATGCAGAGTTGTAATGTTTCAGCAAATTTCCACTTTACAACTAAAACATTGTATAATGTGTATTATTTCACTTATGCACATTTGTTCAAATTTTTGAAAACATAACAAAAATTCCAAAAGAGGGATATGTATAATTAGATGTTTCATAAGAGACTCAGGATTCTAAAAGAAAAAAGACAAAGACTGAAAGACAGCTAGACAGAGGAAATAAAGCAGGATAGACGTTCCTGCATGGCTACATCTGTATTGGATGTAGTGATATACTTCAGAGAGGTCTTTAGGCTTACTCCAGGATCCTGACATTCAAAGTATCACATTCCTATTCTGTGCTTTGTCACCTTTCCTATAATTCTTTCTGGGCTTTAAGAAATATTGTTCAGCACATCAATACTATTTAAGTACAAAAGAGGGTAGGTTATGCAATATTGCACATCAGTATGATTTTCTCAGCATGTCATGAAATGTAGCTTCCTGCTAATATAAGGTCGCTGCAGATATCGCACATTTGTACAAGCATGTAAGTGATGTACCGTTATTTTTCTCTTTGGCAGGAAAATGACAAGGATACGACAGTGCTTCCTGCTGGATGGGAGAAGTGTGAAGGTAAGACTATGTCAGCTACTGATAGCTAGCGTACCTGAAAAACAAATCTTCTTACATTTTCCTGTTCAGATATTGTTCATTAAGACAGGCTGCTTCTTCTGAGTCTCAGTTTTAGTTTTGGTTGACCAATGAAGACAGGATCGTTGGTCCCTTGTGTTTCCAGAAGAGAGAGTTATCTCACTCCACCTGTCTCCTCGTCTGTCATTCACATGGAATTTCCTGTCACAACAAACTCCCAAAAGGAAAGGTTTCTCGACAAGTTTTTGACAAACCTGTGGAATAGCTTCTACAAGCAGTTACGATTAGCTCAGTAGCTATTGATCTGGTTAATTATCACTAGTGAAGGTTACAGTCAAGGTTGTCATTGTAAACAGTATTAAAGATTACAGTAAAGGTTGTCATTGTAAACAGTATTGAAGGTTACAGTCAAGGTTGTCATTGTAAACAGTATTGAAGTTTACAGTAAAGGTTGTCATTGTAAACAGTATTAAAGGTTACAGTGAAGGTTGTCATTGTAAAAAGTATTAAAGTTTACAGTAAAGGTTGTCATTGTAAACAGTATTAAAGGTTACAGTGAAGGTTGTCATTGTAAACAGTATTAAAGGTTACAGTAAAGGTTGTCATTGTAAATAGTATTGGAGGTTACAGTAAAGGTTGTCATTGTAAACAGTATTGGAGGTTACAGTGAAGGTTGTCATTGTAAACAGTATTGGAGGTTACAGTTAAGGTTGTCATTATAAACAGTATTAAAGGTTACAGTAAAGGTTGTCATTGTAAACAGTATTGGAGGTTACAGTGAAGGTTGTCATTGTAAACAGTATTGGAGGTTACAGTTAAGGTTGTCATTGTAAACAGTATTAAAGGTTACAGTAAAGGTTGTCATTGTAAACAGTATTGGAGGTTACAGTGAAGGTTGTCATTGTAAACAGTATTGGAGGTTACAGTTAAGGTTGTCATTGTAAACAGTATTAAAGGTTACAGTAAAGGTTGTCATTGTAAACAGTATTGAAGGTTACAGTAAAGGTTGTCATTGTAAACAGTATTGAAGGTTACAGTAAAGGTTGTCATTGTAAACAGTATTGAAGGTTACAGTAAAGGTTGTCATTGTAAACAGTATTGAAGGTTACAGTAAAGGTTGTCATTGTAAACAGTATTGAAGGTTACAGTAAAGGTTGTCATTGTAAACAGTATTGAAGGTTACAGTAAAGGTTGTCATTGTAAACAGTATTGAAGGTTACAGTAAAGGTTGTCATTGTAAACAGTATTGAAGGTTACAGTAAAGGTTGTCATTGTAAACAGTATTGAAGGTTACAGTAAAGGTTGTCATTGTAAACAGTATTGAAGGTTACAGTAAAGGTTGTCATTGTAAACAGTATTGAAGGTTACAGTAAAGGTTGTCATTGTAAACAGTATTGAAGGTTACAGTAAAGGTTGTCATTGTAAACAGTATTAAAGGTTACAGTAAAGGTTGTCATTGTAAACAGTATTGAAGGTTACAGTGAAGGTTGTCATTGTAAACAGTATTAAAGGTTACAGTAAAGGTTGTCATTGTAAACAGTATTGAAGGTTACAGTAAAGGTTGTCATTGTAAACAGTATTGAAGGTTACAGTAAAGGTTGTCATTGTAAACAGTATTGAAGGTTACAGTAAAGGTTGTCATTGTAAACAGTATTGAAGGTTACAGTAAAGGTTGTCATTGTAAACAGTATTGAAGGTTACAGTAAAGGTTGTCATTGTAAACAGTATTGAAGGTTACAGTAAAGGTTGTCATTGTAAACAGTATTGAAGGTTACAGTAAAGGTTGTCATTGTAAACAGTATTGAAGGTTACAGTAAAGGTTGTCATTGTAAACAGTATTGAAGGTTACAGTAAAGGTTGTCATTGTAAACAGTATTGAAGGTTACAGTAAAGGTTGTCATTGTAAACAGTATTGAAGGTTACAGTAAAGGTTGTCATTGTAAACAGTATTGAAGGTTACAGTAAAGGTTGTCATTGTAAACAGTATTAAAGGTTACAGTAAAGGTTGTCATTGTAAACAGTATTGTAGGTTACAGTAAAGGTTGTCATTGTAATCAGTATTGTAGGTTACAGTAAAGGTTGTCATTGTAAACAGTATTAAAGGTTACAGTAAAGGTTGCCATTGTAAACAGTATTGTAGGTTACAGTTAAGGTTGCCATTGTAAACAGTATTGTAGGTTACCTTTGATACTTTGAAATCAGCCATATCTCATAAAGAAGAAGGTTTTGAAATAAAAGACCCATTCATCAAGGTTTAGATTTGTTATGGCCTTACACTTGGTAATTTTTTTTTTTTCTTTGGTTTCCACTTTTAACAACCTTTGTTTATAATGATGTTACAGTCTGATAGTAAAGAACTTGCATCCAGCATTGGAAATATTTACCATGAACGGATTTCTATATAAATGTCCCTGAAAAAGGACTGCCTTGGAGTTTAAGGCTGCCAGAGAAAAAGCTTGGGATTCATTACATACTAAAACAGAAAAATAACCCATGACCATTTATCCAAAGTTTTGGTACTGTTCAATAGCATTTGTTACATGCAACGGATTGATCAATATTTGATAAATATGTCAAGAATAAAAAACTCATATTTTACAATCAATTATTTAATAACCATCACATTTTTGCCTCGTTACCGTAGCAACATTTTACTTGCAATAAATGATCCTTGATTGTTTTGTTTTTGCGATACATTATTACTGTCCTACTATATGAATTCAGGGTCTGCCATATATATAATTCAATTATAGTTGGGTTTGCTCTGTTGCCTATGAAACATTACAAGCATAAATGTGTACAGAATGGCTTGGATACTTCTAGGAAATAATGCACGGTAATAAAATCAAAAGAAATTATAACCATTTTGCATGTAGGGACATCGTATCGGAGACCAGAAAAAAACACTGTGCTGGTTTTCGAAATAGACTGACGTGTATTTCTACAGGCATGCTATGATAATATGGGTTGAATTATTGACCTGTTTTAATGGGTTCTGTGCATTTGCACAAAAGACAGCTTGATCAAAAGGAATCATCTTAAGGAACGAACAGCCCTGCATAATTCATAAAAACAGACCTAAATTTTACATGATGTGTGATATTTTTTAGATATTTTTCTAGATTTTTTTTTTTTTTTTGGTAACAAATCCGAGCTACTGTTTCTCTATCCTTTACATATTTAAGTAGAAACATCTATGAATAAAACACTAAATTGGTATATTTAAGTACAATATATTTAATAAAGATGTCCAAAAGATTTACCGTGAACTGTCTGACGTGATACTGAACAGCGTCTGAAATGTCCAAATATGGATGTTTAAGCTGTCGGCGATATGAATGAGTCCCTCTCGTCTCCAGCTGGTCGTTAAGGATTTCTTCTCTGTGCGATTTTGGAATCAAGGGGAAGCTTTCTTATAAAGATCTATATAAGTGTGGCTTTTTATGATGTTAGACTACTGATATCACTTTTGGGACTCATAACATCATTTTCTGTCTCAAAATGAGGCCACAAACTGTTTCAAAATGCGGCCAAACTCTGTTTCAAAGTGAGGTCACTGACTCACAATGTATAAAAGTGAGGCCAAGCGCTGTCCAAATATTTGGCCATACACTGTCTTGAAGTGAGGCCATACGCTCTCTTAAATTGAGGCCAAACGCCGTCTTAAAATGAGGCCACACACTATTTTAAACTGAGGCCAAATTCTGTCTTAAAATGAGGCCACAAGCATCTGTCTGTAGTACACCTGATTAGATTCTTGGTCATCGGTCATTGGTCATCGGTCAAGGTCAAAGATCACGGGTAAAAAAGCCTCTCTCTGTGGTACAAAGCTTGTGTACAAGGCATCTCATGAACCCCAGAACACATTTAGTTAATATTTATATCATAGTATGGTTATATTGAGTTCTACTGAGTTCTACACCTTTTATCATAATGTTGGTCATAGGTCAAGCTTTGTAAGGGTCAAAGGTCATGAGCAAAGTGGGATGAGGTGGAATGGGGGTATAGTTATAGGGGGTAAATCTATGTGAGCCTCAGCTCACTTTCAACCTGTTTATATTCTTGCTCAAATTTCTCATGGTTACATAAACATTTTCCAACAGATTTAGCGTCATTGTGTAGATAAATCGTTTACATGTGTGTGGAATCACAGTTATTGAGTGGACATTGGTTTGACGCCAGGGCTGGTAATCAAAACTCTCCATAGAAAACAGATTAGCCTTTCTATTGCATTTGTACAATTATCAAACATTGTAGATCAGCAGAACGTTTGAATGGAAGACAAATATCATGGGACCTGACAAACAGTCAGGTAGTCGCCGTTTCTCAATAAAAATGGGCCTTGAGTTTGTTATCTAAATAAAAAAGTTGATGAGGTTTGCATTGATGCAGTTTTCAGACATTATCTCTGTCAGCCAGTAAATTCTTATATATTAAATATTTATGATGTTATTTATTGATCTCAGGCCATGTTTGATGTAGAACATCCAGTTCAGTACCACTAGTATAATATGAAGGTCTTACTCCATGGAATTTATAAACCTCTAACCATACACCGGAATTAAACTATCTCTATTAATTGGCAAACAAGGAAAAGCAAGTTACAGATCAGGCTTGGAAAGATATAATGCTATACAGATCAGACTTGGAAAGATATGACGTTAATGAATTGTTCCTTCAAAGACAGAATTTGGTCCCAAATCTTTGTCAGGAAATCCAGTGCAAGACATTTTGAGAACATTGCAAAAAAACAAGTATTGAACTGCTGGAAGCATTATAATGGGAGAGAAACAGTAGAAAACGATTTCATTGATGAAATCGTCCTCAGTTTTGAGAGCGCATGGAGTAGGTCTGTGACGGAGCTCCCTGAACAGTCCTCGGGCGTTCTCAGGACATTGAAATGCAATTAGCTTTTAGTGCCTCAGATGTTTCATGTCGCTTGTGTTGTGATTGACAGATGAAGACGGACCCTACTATTGGCACGTTAAGAGTGGAACCATCCAGAGGGAGCCACCATCTCCTGCACCCCCGGAGACCAAACCAACGACCTTGAGATCGATATCTGTCAACAGCGACAGTGTAAGTATACAACCTCGTATTGCTAACAGTTTTTTCCTGATTGTTCTAGCTGAAGTTCCTTTTATCAATTCAGATGGAAAATAAGTTCATTCTGTCAATGTTTTACACTATTCTGTCTATTTTTAGCCTATTATCATATAGGTATCCGAGATGTTTCAGAACCCTTGACTGAATTTCTTTAAGTGTGTTAGATATTGCATTATACCAAGAGGAACTCTGGACAGCTCCTGTAAAATACTTTCTACAGAAATCTTCCTTAAATGTCGTACTGTATATTGTACTTTCAATGTAAATTTTAACTGTAAGCTGTGGTTTCCATACTTATTAACTCATTCACACCTGAAAAAGGGCATTGTTTGGTCTTGTAACAAAAGTCATCTTGAAATGAGATAGATAGCAGGAAAAATCCTCAGTGTTTTCTTTCTATATTCCCCAGGACAATGGTTTCACAAGTAATATGATTGAAATTTTGTAAAAATGGGAAAAGCCATTGGGATATCACTGACAGAGTATGCATAGAACTTTTTTTGTGTAATTGACAGTTTTAGTGTTCTTGCATTGTCATGCACATGTTAAAATAATCCTTGATCTAACTTGGTTAAAAAAATAGAACTGTAGAGTACTTAGCACTTTGCTATTTATTTCTAAATTGTATGAAAGTTGCATTTTCTAATCCATTATAGTGGAATTGGTAAAAATGGCGATCTGCGTTGATACTGTGTGTAAAACGAGATATTTAATTGGGCAACATTGACAAGGGAATGATGCGACGAGGAGGGATAATTTTACTGACGATGTATTGTCATTCTAATGGGCCCTTTGTGTTGTTTCCTTTGATTTTCTAAGACCTAATTTCATTTCTGAGTAATTAGCTAACGAATGAAATTCTCAAATTTCCAAATTACCGGTCAGGTACTGAAGTTAATTAAGCAGTTTGCACTTGCTGTCGTGAGGCGCTGGGAAAGTAAGCCTGCTGTGACATAGACTTGTGGTAGCTTGTCCCTGCTAGAACAGTGCAGCAGTGTGCGTGTCATGATTGTATATAGATGGTCCTTATATTAATCAGTGATTTGGTGCAGTAAATCTAGATTTATCAAAAGATATTCCCTTTACGAGGGCCGACATTGTTTTCATGTTCTGATTTGTCATCCATCTTTCTTTCGCTTCCTGTGCAATACTGTGTAAAGATTCCTGGGGTGAAACAGATCATGAACTTCACATAAAAGTTACCGATAGATCTAGAGATGGGGTATCTGATAATGTAGGGTCAAAGGTCAAAAGTCAAGATCATCGTAAGAGTTTGCCAGCTTGATATTGTGGACAACTAATATCATAGATTTACAGCTTGAATTTTCTCCTGTTCTCCGTCTTTTTAAACTAATTCATTGTTAATTACTGTCTTTACTTTAATTATTTCAGCTAATACCATAAGTTTACTGTCATAAAAATAACTATTTTATTTAATATCATTAATATCTGTCACAAAAAAAATGGTCGTTTTTTATTGTTACTACATCATGATATACCTACTGGTCTAGTCTATATCAGAAGACAGTTCTGAGGTATCAGAATGGAGGCACGGAAGTTTAGTGGTAGGACGCAGGGTTCGTGACCAAAGGGTTGCAGGTTCGAGTCACAGCACTATGTTGTATCTTTGAGCAAGATACTTTACAGACCGCTTGTTCCAGTCTACTCAGCTGTAAATGAGTACATGGTTGGGCAGTGCTAGAATTGTAGAATGCTACTAGCTGTGAGTGCCGAAATAATAGCACTGGCTGTATTTGGATCTCCCCAGAGAGTTGAGAAAGATATTGGCTGGTTGCAAAGGCCCTATAACCATGGATAATAATTTGTGAACCGCTTTGAGATGACCTACAAACTAAGTTGTGATAAAGCGGTACATAAGAACCTCAAATTATTGTTATTATTATAGTAGTGAGATTGTGGTATTTTACCTTCTGTCGGTAATATTCTGTTCATACATGAAAGTATTGCTGTACTTATTGTCAATGCAATGACCTTGTTACTAAGCCCATAAAGGCATACTTCATTGGTTTGTGCCAGGTTGTCATGGTAATTTGAACTAGTGTAATTGCCACCCCTTTCAAACTAAAGTGACTGTCATCTTGAACACTCCGCGATAGAGGGATTTGAGCACTAAAGTACAAGTTTTACGAGAACATGACTGATCCCGACCTCATCTGTAGGGCTTCAGTTTAAACATTCCCAAGAATGGGTGGTAAATTACATGTCTTTTATTCTGATATTAAAAGCAAGCAATTCAGAGCATTTAGCATAATGGCATCTGCACCAACACTCCACAAACGTAATTACAAGTGTGAATTCAAAGCTTGTGAACTTCCTGTTTCAGTGCCTCTAAATATTGTTTCGTTGTTTTTCTTGTAATTTTTGAGAACATAAACGCTGAACTTTCTTGTAAGTGCAAACTCTCAACCAATGTAGTATTTGGATTGCTATTCATCGCACATGTTTTCTGTATTGAGTGTTTCCGTGGTTTTGAATAATGAAAGAATTTTGCTGCATTATTTATAGTGTTAAAACATAAACATTTAAAGATTGTATTTGTAATACAGTACCACAGATTTCTTCAAACTTTACGATCAGATTTCATGTATTCAAATTTGTTACGATGATCATACAAATCTGTCTCAAGATGATAACATACTAATATTTGATAAGGTACAAAGGTACAAAGTCGGGTAGATTCTAGGTGCTAGCTGGGATCTTTTCATGCTCTCTTCATTACTGTTTCCTTTCTTCTATCATACCTACCTATCTTCTATCATACCTAGCTACCTTTCTTCTATCATACCTACCTTTCTTTCATACTTACCTTTCTTCTATCATACCTACCTTTCTTTCATACTTACCTTTCTTTCGTACTTACCTTTCTTCTATCATACCTACCTTTCTTTCATACTTACCTTTCTTCTATCATACCTACCTTTCTTTCATACTTACCTTTCTTCTATCATACCTACCTTACTTCTATCATACCTATCTTTCTTCTATCATACCTATCTTTCTTCTATCATAACTACCTTTCTTCTATCATACCTACCTTTCTTCTATCATACCTACCTTTCTTCTATCATACCTACCTATGAATTTTTTTAGTTAATCACATGAAATGGTCAGTGTTATCACAAACTGTTAATTTAATTAATTCATGTGTATCAATTAACTTCATGTTGAAGAACTTCTTTAAAGTAATTACATTTCAAGGAAGATGGCTTTATGTAAGAATTACCATGTCGTTGCCAGTTCCTATTCCTATTTACCTGTGTACTTATTACATATGATGAATGAAAATAAATATTGTTTAAAGCAATGATTATTTAAATTTCCCAAATACTTCTTATGTCTATGATTTTTTTCCAATGTCATCCCAGAAACCATTTCCTATAACCCTGGGTAAACCCCTGATAACTCTTGTTGCATTTTGTCATTCCTGAAACATGATTGATTTGATAACACTGAAGAAACATTCATGATAAATTATTTTTTTATCAAAACGATATTCCTAATACAGTTACTCACAGTGTAAAATTAACAAGAATTCACATGAAAAGGAATTAATAAGTAACAAAAAATACCATTGAAATTACCGAGCTATTTCAGAAGTAATTATTATGCCAATCATATATGGTGAGATTGTGACCATGGTCAGTTATGCCTTTGGCATCACCACACAGCTTTAAATCGTGGGATCTTAAAACACGATCGTTTTCACACAATTACCATATTTTGAATCTCATTTACATATCATCTGAATCTCATTTGCATTTCATCATGTTAGAGTGCAATGCGACACATTGAGAAAGATGTCACGATCTTCTGCGTATTAACGAACCTTTCTTGACTTATAAGATGGATGTGTAGATCTGATATGACACCCCGACAGATAATACAATTAAGACCTGGAGATGTTCTTGTGAATTTAATATGGAGGCTTCAAGATCAATATGCAGCTTTTCATTGTTGCTATTGTAACGTTCTAAAATGGGAATGGGAGTATCACGTAAGGGAGTAATCTTTGTTTTCATTTACATACCATTAGGGACCTGTCATTATTCAGTGCACTCAAATCTAACTTGATCAGTACAATGATTTGATTATCCGGCCGGTTTTAAAAAGTATGCCAACATCGAGAAATTGTCATCGCCCTACGTACTCTACTTTTTCAAATCGAGTTGCAATTTTTTGAGCTTTCTATTTTGACAAACTTATAGCTTACAAAAACTAAAAAAATAATGTGTTTTGTTTTTCACATGCTAACCCACCCCCACCCACCCTCAATCTCAGAGGGAAATATTTCTTGGAGAGTCTTCCCAAGGTTGACATCATCAACTTAATTACTATATTGCTCAGTTATTTTGGTCCCATACAAGTAAGGTTTTCCTGCATTCTCCTCTCATTTGCTACGTTAAGTCTTTGTTTAAGGGGCTTACTTTCATCCATTATTTGAATTGATGTATTTGAATTTAACTTTGCTGTTAAACAGAGCACTCTGTCGGGGACGAGTACTAGTTCCACGGTGTCATCGCCCTCCAGCTTAAACTCCAACACAGAAGAACACCTCAAGACGTTTGAAGGTCACGCCCTTCAGTATGCCGCCAAGTCTCTTCAGTCCCTGTAAGTACACCAAGGTCAAGTTCGATCCTTTTCTCTTCTAGCAGATGATTGGGGTTTAAAACTCAGTATCTCCCTTTATATCAGAACTGAAATCATTGTAGCCGTACAATGAAAGAATGCCTACATCAGGCTATTAGCCAGCCAGCCACCCATCCACCTGTCTTTTTGACAGGCAGTTTTCCATTATATAACCTTTAACTATTGTATATCAATTTTGACAGGCAGTTTTGTAAAATTAGTTATAATATTAAGATATTGGCCAAGGGACAGATTTTGACAGGCAACTTTCCACTATATAACCTTATCTATTTATTGTATATCAATTTTGACAGGCAGTTTTTTAAATTAGTTATAATATTAAGATATTGGCCAGAGACATTTGAAATCCTGGTCTACATTGATGTTAATTGATCATTTTTGCAAATTCATGGAATGTTAACTTTACGTTCCATAGATTTGAAAAATCATCAAAAGTAAATAGGATGTAAAATCGTGTCATTTAAATACTAGTTCTAGTTTTTATCTCCGCATAATATTTTGTTAAAATGATGAAAGTAAAAGTTATATTTTCGTAAAAGGTAAAATTTGAAAATTTGGAATATAACCCCATCATTTGTCCTAGATGTCAGTTAGAAAAATTATGTATTCATGATATTTTGCTGATGATTTGGGCACCACCATCTCATGACCTGCCGGAGGAAGATTCTGGAGATGTTCCGATGTCTTTGTGTAGTTCTAAAGGTCTCTGATGCTAAATACCCACTTGGCACAGGACCAATGCCCCACGGTGACGGTCAGTGTCCCATATTTTACGAGAACCGGGGATTATTTTGTCGTTCTATTTCAGGACGAAGACCTTAGATTGTGTTTATATTTATGCTTACTTCCAGATATATGGATTAGCCAATAGACAATGGATATAAAATCAATCCGCGATAGAACATCCTTACAGGAGTCTTTGTATCGCCATAGCGATGTCAATAGTATGACAGCATCTGTCATCAACGCAATACTTCCTGTCTTCTATATAAATACGGCAGTGGAATGACCTTTCATTTTGTAATAAGACCAGATATTGGAACAGATGATAGCTATCAAATAAAAGAATGGAAAGAAAATAAAAAATAAGAATTGTTCAAAGTGTGTATTATGTTGAACGTTATAATTATTTGTATATTGCAAAAATTCTTTTTTAACAGGTATTGATATTTATGGTTTCTATAGTAACCACCATGACCAAAATGTCATTATACAATGGGATTTCTTTATACTGCCATCATAGTGTTGACACATCTAGACTAATATGTCAGTAATCTGTTTATATTTCTGTTCCAACACTTTTTGTGTCATATGTCATTTCTCAAAATTTTGAACCATTTTATATTTCACGTGTACAAAAAAGATAGGGGAAAGAGTATCTCAAATAGTGTCTGTGTTCCTAGGGAAATGTATTACATACTGCATGATTTTATGTATTAATGTACATTTGATGTGTTATTGTTTTTGTTGAATGGCAATATTTCATGGGAATGGCCTGTATTATATCATAAATAGATGATCAAAAACACAAGTGTTCATGTAATATTGACTTTATCAAACTTGATTATTACTTCCATATTACATGAACACATCTGTAGGATCCTCTACATAAAAGATGAACCTATCACTCAAACTGGTGAATGTACCATTAACTCATTCAGCCCCGAAGACACATTTGATCTCTTCCAATTCAAAGGTTGGAATAGTTCATTATGAAATTTCAGGGGTGAATGAGTTAAGCTTTGGTTAATATATACTGTAAGCCGAAAATGAATTACACTGCTTCAGTATACAGCTGTTTCGTCCATCTAGGACTCGGCAGTGATGCTGAGGGCCAAATAGTTGGAAATCCAAATGGTCTTAACTACTAATATAAATCACTTGGCAGGTGTGTTATATTATTTTAACATCCAAATATATGTGTATTTGCAGGTCATCTGGGAATCTCCAAATTCAGTCTGGAGAGCCCCCTGCAGAGAAGCCGATGCGGTTTGCTGTACGGTCTCTGGGGTGGGTCCGCATCGCCGAGGAGGATCTGACCCCCGAGAGAAGCAGTAGGGCAGTCAACAAGTGCATCGTTGACTTGTCTCTCGGACGTAATGACATCAACGACGTGGTTGGGCGCTGGGGAGATGTAAGAATGTTGCTTTGGTATTTCTGGTCGATGTGGTCTGAAAATGTTGTGTTTGATCAGCCCACTTGGGGACCTGTAGCACATTCTTAAATGCTGAAAGTGCTGTTTTACTGACACTGAAAGATAAATTGACAAAACAGTATTAGATAAGCCAATATCGATATATTAAAACTGCAATTCTGTTTATGAAGCATAGACAAAATCTTACCAAAAAAAAAAAAAAAAATGAAAAAGAATAACAAGTTAAATTCTGCAAATACTGAAAAATTTCTTATGCCCACACAACTCCACCAGCCCCAGTGGAGTGTAAATTAGTCTGGGGTGGATGTTGCGGTATCTGTGCTGAAGCATTCAAGTGAGGCGGCACTATAAATGATGCCCTTGCATTTGGAAGCACGGTCCCCCTACAAACAGAACACAATACATCTCCAGCACACACGCAGGCATACACACATAGGGAGATATTAGCCAGGTGGCATAGGACTAGTAGTAAGCACCTGATAAGGCAGCTCCTGCAAATTCCTCAAAATTGTATTGATTATTGTAAATGCTTATTGTATTAATTGTATATCTATTTACTGTAAAGCGCTTTAGACTGGCTTATGTTGGCTAGATATGGCGCTATATAAAATGTTGTATATTATAATTATGTTTTTATAAAAAATGTTGTCTTTACTAGATAAGTTGATCTAGTATGCTTCAGTAAACAGATTTTAGAACAAATTCCTTTGAAATTAAGCATCCTTTTACTGTTGCGCAGAAGCTAGATCAAGATCTCTATAAAAATTCAAATGATTTAAACTGACCAATGTCATTGTTGACAGGGTAAGGATCTGTACCTGGACCTGGACCGACACAGCCTCAGACTGGTCGACACCCAGGAGTTCTCCATCCTGAACTCCCAACCAATCCAGTCCATCAGGGTCTGGGGGGTCGGCCGTGACAATGGCAGGTAAGCACCCAACAGAACCATTCCGTCTCATTGGGATCAAACTAGTAGCCGTTATAATGGCAAGTTTACAGCCCAAATATTATGAGGTTCATATTTTTCGCAATGAAACTTCAGGATAATATCTTTCTTCGATTGGTCTGGATGTTAAATTATCTATCGGACAATAGCAGGAAAAGTTTTTTTAGATCATTTCCGCTCTATGGCACATTAAATGTGTGAGATGAAAAAGACATTTTAGGAAATAAATTATATACATGCTATAATATTTCTTAATATCTGTCATTTTGTTGATGTTTAAACTTTTAAAAAGGATTAATTATATGTACAGGATAAATGTAGATACAAACATGATCTTAAACAAATCATGGATGTGAAATAATTGTGTTCTCACATTGAGCCTCAACTAATGCTGGTACATAACAAGTTAATTTTTCGCTATAAATGTTTCTAAACAAATCTTTAATTGGATTTAAACTGAAGGAAAAGTAAAAGAAAGCGTGGCGCCTACGAAGTATAGAAAAGCGGCACCTTAGCGTAGTTTTCTGGAGATTAATTACACTAATTTGATGGAGATGTGAAAATAACAAGATTTGTCTCCCCTGGTGCCAGCTGTACCGTCGCTGCTTACGTAATACTGTTGACTAACTTGTAATGTCTGTCCTCGTCTTCAAATTTTGCGCTTTCCGTTGACAGAGAAAGGTAAATAGATCAGGAGGCTTCGCCACGTTTTTATCACTGTGTCGTCAGTGGGTGTCAGAATTGATCGTCTCTCTGTTGTGTGTGAACAGTTTTAAGTGTTGTACTGCACATTCTACCCTGAACCAGTTTCTCGGAGCTCTTATCAAATTAACAAGCTTGAATACGACCGGCATGGAAACCCAATCAACCATATTGGGCACACATTTCCAGCTACAAAATTTAATTTATTAAGGGCACATTTTGAAGAAATTCAATTTTGAATGGTCGGCTTGAATGTATCACTTACGACCCAGTTCCGTTTGTTGTCTTGTTTTGCATTTTTGTCTCAAAGACCTTGTCTTGAAATCTAATAAATGTGTTCAATTTAAGTGCAATTTTACTTCTGGTTATTCTATTATTTATTTTTTTATATTTGTTTTTCATGGTAATCATTTTCACACCAGATATTATTGTCTCTGTTTTATGTTGTCATCCTCGTGTGGTTTCTGCTATAACTGTTTTGTCTAAGAACAAATATATACAGTATAACATACATAATCAAATTTTGTTAGGAAAAAAAGAACACTTTATAGGAAAGAGCTGTTTTAAAATTTGACGATTATAATGCACCTCGTCATGGATTTTCATGTTATATCATAACCCTCAGAATTGAGTTGTATTTGTCCTTGAGTTTGTCAACAGGTAGCTATATATATAGTGGATCCTCCTGGCGTTGTCTCTACACATAATCTTTAAAACTTTATAACGGTGTCATTTATGAGCAAAAGACTCGAAGGCAGATTGAGATTTACAGCAAATATTAATATTTATTTCCGAAACATTCTACCTAAATATGGGCTAAGGGGATATAACAGCTGTGATACTACTAAAAATAACTTTCATGTATATTTACCCAGCCAGCTGTATCATAGCTGTTGACCGTGCAGGGATTGGCATGTACAATTACTGACCTCATTACGACATCAGTTCCTCCAATCAAAGTTGTTAATTCACAGATTCCAAGATTAATAGCATCTGTAAGAGTTTAACAGAATTGGTAACTGGAAATACCCTACCTATATTTAGTAACAGTCTGTAACATTTATATATACATAGATACATAAATTTATTCTGACAAAATGAGGATTTTACAATCCTTTGACAGTCAGCTCTGAAATAATAAAAAAACCAATTAAATAAAAACATAATTTTAAAAGTTGCAACGTTTAGATTTCAATTTTTTCTTTAAAACTGTATTTCTGTGCTTGGTTATAAATTTTTAGTTTGATAGGATCTGTTAGAAATTTACAGACTCGTAAAATGACATATGTCTCTTCCTTATAGTTGTGCTTTATCCTGAGGCTCTGAAAAATAGAGATAAGCCAATTAATTTTCCCAAGATTATAAAGACAACATTTCAGATCAATATTGATTTGAACATCATGAATGCTTGTACCTAAAGTGAGTCGTTTTTTCTTCATTGTAAAGATGGATTAAGTGATAAAAGTTTATAAAATGAAAGTTTGAAAAGTAAAGTCAGAAATAGCTCATGACATCATGAATACTTGTAAATGGACAGTATATATGTCTGCAGTATAGAGTTTGTCAAAAGGATGCTGTTAGCACAAAACTCCAGCACAAGTATGAGTTGAAAAGATCACTTGAACTCATTCACCCCTGAAGTCACATTTAAACTCTTCCAATTCAAACGTTGGAATAGTTCATTATGAAATTGCAGGGGTGAATGAGCTAGTTAACAGACATAAAATTATATATTTTTGTAATATGTAATGGGGGGAATGGACAAATGGAATGCAATGAAATCCGTCTCTACCAAACATCCCAACCACACTGTCTTAACCAAACTTCCCAAATGGACAAAACTTTTGGTTTATACAGGTGTACAGATTATACAGGCATCAATGTAGACAGGGGTTATGCTGATATGAGGAATTATGGTAAATTAATGGTAGTTCATTATTTTCCAATCAGCTGCAAGTTTAAAACTCAAGTAAGCCGGAAAATGTAAAATTTAGGTCACTATCTGATACAGATGTTTTCAGGCATTTCTTGTGATTAGTTTGAAATTTCACTATCAGCTGAGACTAGTATTTGGTTTTACATTATCCCATTATAGCATACAGCCTGGCCATATAAAATTCCTACTAGCTTTAGGGGATGTCACGTAATACATATGGCGGACAGCGTCCCCGTATCTAGCTACAGGCTATCTCGTAATCATCGGAGGGAGATAAACCATCGTGTTGGTATCATACATGTCTATTCACCTATGAAAATGCAATTCCATAAATGCTCAAAAGATTAAGCACACAAACAAAACTGGAGTTATTTGATAAAAAGTGGCTCTTTTTTGGCTTCAGGGGCTCATCTGGTCTGCCAGAAATACTATAAAATTATTGACGACAAATGGTGTAAATTTCATGTGCAATATTCCACACGTAATATGAAATTAAATAATATCGATTTTCGTTGCAATGTAATTTACCTGAATCTCATGATCAAACAAGTCTGACTCAACAAAAAGTAAATGAAATTTACATAATATCAGTAATTAATATGAAATGTGATCAGAAATTTGATTACAAGTGTTATGCAATATCTCTGATTCCTATGTTGTGTGAGTAGGTAAACATGTTGTGAGGCACGGTAGTCTAGTGGTAGGACACCGGGCTCGTGACCGAAGGGTTGCGGGTTGGAGTCACGTCAAGGCACTGTGTTGTAATCTTGAGCTTGTTCCAGTCTACACAGCTGTAAATGAGTATGTGGTTGGGCAGTGCAAGAAAAGTTGGGTGCTAGCTGTGAGCGCCGAAATGGCTGCACCGACTGCATGCTCCCCAGAGAGTTAAGAAAGATGTATAGGCCCTATAACAATATAATAATTTGTGTCCTGTATTTGTAATGTTTAAAATCAAGTTCAGAAAAATGCACATAAGAATGTCATTTTCAATCAATCTTTTACTTGCATGTAATTAGTACATAGTATATGTTGTACACACTACAGATTTGTTGTTATTTTTTATTTTAATTTGTTTTTAATTTTGTAATGCTTTCCAGTTTTATTTCAGAGACTTTTTTTAAAACTTATATCTGAGAATTATCAAATTACCATTTATCAGAAGGAAAGATTGTTCAGTGTTAAGGTTTGACTTAATTATCACAATCACAATTGAAACAAAATTAAAATAAAGTTTTTAAACTTACTTAAACAATATTAATAATTCATCTAGGAAATAGTCTATATATCACACAATTTTTGAAAAGTTTTAAGTCAGAATTTTCATGTTTTTACAAGAGTTTCGCTGAACTGATTGTTACTTTGACTTCAAACATTCCAGGGACTTTGCCTATGTGGCGCGGGAGAAGCAAACGAAGAAGCACATGTGTCATGTATTCCGTTGTGACACGCCCGCGCGACAAATCGCCAACTGCCTGCGTGATATCTGTAAAAAGATAATGATGGAGCGCCGTCTGCAGGAAAATGCAGTAGTACAGCGCCTCAGTCGTCCCACGGACCTACCGAACCTTGGCAAGTCTTCTGAACCCAACGGGCAGAAACTGTCCTTCCAGTCCCTCTATAACAGTGAGTCCTGTAGTCGTGTTACTGAGTCAAATGGACAGAAACTGTCCTTCCAGTCCCTCTATAACAGTGAGTCCTGTAGTCGTGTTACCGAGTCAAATGGACAGAAGCTGTCCTTCCAGTCCCTCTATAACAGTGAGTCCTGTAGTCGTGTTACTGAGTCAAATGGACAGAAACTGTCCTTCCAGTTATGGGTTCAGCCTGTAAACATTCTCCATGGCAAGACTACTGTAAGTTATAGGTTCAGCCTGTAGACATTCTCCATGGCAAGACTACTATAAGTTATAGGTTCAGCCTGTAAACATTCCCCATAGCAAGACTACTGTAAGTTATAGGTTCAGCCTGTAAACATTCTCCATGGCAAGACTACTATAAGTTATAGGTTCAGCCTGTAAATATTCATAGCAAGACAACTGTAAGTTATAGGTTAGGCCTGTAAACATTCTCCATAGCAAGACCTCTGTAAGTTATAGGTTCAGCCTATACACATTCTCCATAACAAGAATACTGTAAGTTATAGGTTCAGCCTATAAACATTCTCCATAGCAAGATAACTGTAAGTTATAGGTTCAGCCTGTAACCATTCTCCATAGCAAGACTACTTAAGTTATAGGTTCAGCCTATAAACATTCTCCATAGCAAGACCTCTGTAAGTTATAGGTTCAGCCTGTAAACATTCTCCATAGCAAGACTACTTAAGTTATAGGTTCAGCCTATTAACATTCTCCATAGCAAGACCACTGTAAGTTATAGGTTCAGCCTGTATACATTCTCCATAACAAGACTACTGTAAGTTATAGGGTAAGCCTGTTAACATTCTCCATAGCAAGACCACTGTAAGTTATAGGTTCAGCATGTAAACATTCTCCATAGCAAGACTACTGTAAGTTATAGGTTCAGCCTATAAACATTCTCCATGGCATGACTACTGTAAGTTATAGGTTCAGCCTGTTGACATTCTCCATAGTAAGACCACTGTAAGTTATAGGTTCAGCCTGTAAACATTCTCCATGGCCTGACCACTGTAAGTTATAGGTTCAGCCTGTAAACATTCCCCATCGCAAAACTACTGTGAATTATAGGTTCAACCTGTAAACATTCTCCATAACAAGACCACTGTAAGTTATAGGTTCAGCCTGTATACATTCTCCATAACAAGACCACTGTAATTTATAGGTTCAGCCTGTATACATTCTCCATAGCAAGACCACTGTACGTTATAGGATTAGTCTGTATACATTCTCCATAGCAAGACTACTTAAGTTATAGGTTCAGCATGTAAACATTCTCCATAACAAGAATACTGTAAGTTATAGGTTCAGCCTATTAACATTCTCCATAGCAAGACCACTGTAAGTTATAGGTTTAGTCTGTATACATTCTCCATAGCAAGACTACTTAAGTTATAGGTTCAGCCTATTAACATTCTCCATAACAAGACTACTGTAAGTTATAGGTTCAGCCTGTAAACATTCTCCATAACAAGACTACTATAAGTTATAGGTTCAGCCAGTAGACATTCTCCATAGCAACATTACTGTAAGTTATAGGTTCAGCCTGTAGACATTCTCCATAACAAGATTACTCTAAGTTATAGGTTCAGCCTGTATACATTCTCCATAGCAAGACTACTTAAGTTATAGGTTCAGCCTATAATCATTCTCCATAACAAGACTACTACTATAAGTTATAGGTTCAGCCAGTAGACCTTCTCCATAGCAAAATTACTGTAAGTTATAGGTTCAGCCTATAATCATTCTCCATAACAAGACTACTACTATAAGTTATAGGTTCAGCCAGTAAACATTCTCCATAACAAGAATACTGTAAGTTATAGGTTCAGCATGTAAACATTCTCCATAGCAAAACTACTGTAAGTTATAGGGCCAGCCTGTAAACATTCTCCATAACAAGACCACTGTAAGTTATAGGTTCAGCCTGTTAACATTCTCCATAACACGACTACTATAAGTTATAGGTTCAGCCTGTAAACATTCTCAATAGCAAGACTACTGTAAGTTATAGGTTCAGCCTGTAAACATTCTCCATAGCAAAACTACTGTAAGTTATAGGTTCAGCCTGTTAACATTCTCCATAGCAAGACTGCTGTAAGTTATAGGTTCAGCCTGTAAATATTCTCCATAGCAAGTTTACTAGGTATATGTGTTCATCACACATGGTTTTCTTTAAGAGACAGTTGTACAGTATTTGAAAAGTGTTATTGATTTCCTGACAGAGCTGGTAGTAAAATTAGTACCCAAATGTCTGCCTAACATTTGTGAATCTCTATTCGAGATAGAATCATTGTTTTATTGAGATTACTTCTGTTGCAAAATCTCAAATGTTTCATTGTTTTGACTGATAATGCATAAAATGTAACTCAATCTTGTCCTCCGAGTATTCAACCTGTTGCTCCTTTATTTATAAAGTGGACTAAACCTTTATACTATATAATGGACTACACAGATGATTTAAAGGGGGGAAAAGGCATGAAATATATCCCCTGTGTTGGGCTATCTAGCTGTCTTTCACATTCTACAATCTTTAGATTTATTGAAAAATATTGACCTTTTTTTAAGTAACACCTTCGCTGTAGAAACATTTCAACTTTAGCTTCCACCAGTTTAGATGATCATAAAGAGCAGGATTAAGGGTACTGGCTGAACTCTGTACAACCTGTTTTATATTACCTTAGGGTTATAGTTACATTTTATATGGTTACACTGATGCCTGTGTTATTTCCAGATGCTTCTTTCCCCACCCCCATGGAGGAGCCAAAGAAGATCATCCGCTGTCATTATATCGGTCTGGAGTGTGTCACAAGGCCTTCAGGTAAACCACCACACTTTTTGCTCATCACTCTCCCTCTCCCTCTACCCCTCCTAACCAACCCCACCCAACCAGCCCCTCCTTATTAACCCTCCCCAGACCCCACCAACTCCTTCAAAACAGACCTCTCCCTGATGATCCCTCTCTCCAAACCCCTTCCCACAGACTCTCCCCCCCCCCTCTCTCTCACTTACCCGTCCCCATAGACCCTTCACAACAGACCCCTTTTGACAGACACTTCACAACAGACCCCTCCCCCCAGACCCCAATAACTCCTTCAAATCAGACCCCTCCCTGATGACCCCTTCCCACAGACACCCCTTCCCCCAACACACACTGATTCTTCCCCCACCAACCCCTTCAAAACAGACCCCTCCCTGCTGACCCCTCTCTCCAACCCCTTCCCACAGACACCCCTCCCCCAAAACACACTGATTCCTCCCCCACCAACCCCTCCCCACAGTCCCCTCTCCACTGACCCCTCCCCACAGTCCCCTCTCCACTGACCCCTCCCCACCATCCCCTCCCCACAGTCCCCCCCAACAGTCCACTCCCCACAGTTCCTTCCCCATAGTTCCCTCCCCACAGTCCCCTCCCCACAGTCCCCTCTCCACAGTCCCCTCCCCACAGTCCCCTCCCCACAGTCCACTCCCCACAGTCCACTCCCCCACAGTCCCATCTCCACAGTCCCCTCCCCACAGTCCACTCCCCACAGTCCATCTCCACATTCCCCTCCCCACAGTCCCCTCCCCACAGTCCCATCCCCACAGTCCCCTCCCCACAGTCCCCTCTCCACTGACCCCTCCCAACATCCCAACATTTCTTTCCCTACCAATCTCTTCCCTCCCTTTTCATTTTTGTGCATTTGAAAATAAGCGATCCAAAATAGGAAAGTGCTCTTTTGAATATATAAATATATATATATCCAATTATTCTCAGTATTCTCACTAAATGAGATGATGTAGTGAGGTTTTTTTACTATCATTAACAGGGACAGAGGTGATCAATGGGGCTATTGACGCTGCCCTTCTGCGAGTTCCGCCAGAAAAGTGGCTTTTTGTCAACGTCAACATTGCTCCCTCTACCATTACCATTTCCGAGCATGGGGTAAGTCTGATCGGACAATGTTGTGTCACAGCGATGTTAACACCTGTAGCTGTTTATGACATAATTTAAGGTCTTGTCTTTTTAGTCTTTAATCACTGATCAGAATCAAAATGGTGACACATCCATATTTCGTAAACTTGTGTTTAAAATGCTGGGCACAGGCTTTAAATTAATTATTGTCAATCGATCAAGCTTTGACCTGAGCGACAGAAGCATTGAGTTGCTTATTGGTCGTTCCATTTAGGTTAAACAGTTTTCTAGGTCCCTGGGTTCTGGGATTTCTTCTCAGGAGCTTGGCCCACAGAGCTACGTACTCAGCACGTCCACAGGTGGCAGATAGAGAAGCGACTTTGTGGGGGCTAGGTGTAAAAGGAAATCTTTTAAGGGGTCTTATGCTTACAAAATTGTGTGTCTACATTAAGTGTCCTAGTACATGTTGTTTTGAGAGTCCAATTAAGGGTAATGTATTAAACAGAGGAACCTGACGGCAACCAAATTGAACCTGGGTTGACAGTGGTACTTGGACAGTGGCCGAGTCCAGTCCTGTTACAATTACATGTGTGATTGATAGGAGAAACAGAATCTATAATTTGATCATCTGATAGACGGTCCATGTTCCTTCCTGGAAACAACAATCATATATGCAGAAAGAAGGGTCTTTCAAGAGTTTGATCTTTGTTTTTCCGGAGTTTGATCTTTGTCTTTAAGGAGTTTGATCTTTAGTTAAAAAAAAAAAAATCAAGATATAAAAATTGAAAACCACAAAGAAACCTCGAGAGGGTGTGGGCTGTGTGTTGCTGTGTTTAATATAATGAGGTTCCTTTTTTCTGAACGTAATTCTCTGCTTTCTTAATTAATTTCTTAATTTGATTAAAATTTTGTGAAGATTTTAAGACTACAAGTAAGGTAGAATTTGACCGCACGAGGATTGCGAAACTTTCGATTGGAGGACACATTTTAAATGTCATGTTTTGATCACACAAGAGATTAACAAACATCGTGCACTAGATAATCATTTCAGCACAGCACTGCGCAGCTTGTCTATGTCTAGTGATAAAATAAAGAAAAAAACAAGGCAAGGGTAGAGCCAACACCGTGGTTTTCTTAATGGTGGAAAAAGTACTTCAGGGATAGAAATATCCTATAATTTTGTCCTGAAGAAGCCCACTGTAGGGGCGAAACCGGTCGACACTTCTAATAAACTACAAGAATACAACTTATTGCTCCTTCACCTGTTGTAATTGAATCTATTTTATAAAGAAAAAAAGATGTCCTTTGGATTAAATTCTATCATGAGAGACCCTTTCTGTGCACAAATCTTGCTAACTGCATGAATCAGATTTATCTAACTAGTGAAACGAAAATGTATAAAAAAAATTATTCATTTGGCAATTTTATTGAAAACTGTTCTCAACAGGATATTATCCTTCATAGTCACATTGAAACTCATCCATCAAATACCGGAAGTTCGACGAACATAAAGTGTGGAGACACCGCAACTGTAGACATTCACGAGTGTTCAGGTGACTCGGAATCAATTCAACACTGTTCGGCTGTACTTAAATTTGAAACGCTCAATTTTCTTTTCTCATTTTTCAGAAACCTGAGAACAAAATTGACGAATGTCGTGTGAGATACCTGGCGTTCATGGGAATATCTGTAACAAATCCAAAGTAAGTTTTTGTTTTCGAGTATCCCAAGGGAGATAACTGCCTCAAACCAGCTTCACAGATAATAGATTGTCTACTGCGATTCTCTGCATATTGATGGTACAGTGGTCTCATAAGGCTTGTCTGACTTCTCACATTATCCCAACGATGTAAAGAAATAGTTTTTGAAGATTCGGAAAGGTCATCTACTTACTAGATATGCCATCTAAACAGTTATGCATGAACTATTGTATTCAGTTGGAATTCATGGTCAATGGGAACGGCATCTGGAAAGACAAATTCCATGAAGCTGGCATTGTTTAATTTGTCATTTCCAGTCAGCATTCATATTGACCATGATTGCCAACCAAAAGCTGTTCAATGCATACATCAACCAGGTGTGAAGTATTTTAATCCAGTATTTTTTTTATTAAGATTTTTATTGAGCATCCACATTACCTCCGCATTAAAGCCATTTTGGTCTCTGTGGAGTATAACATATAGATAGATCCATTTAGTGCTCAAACTCCAATTCTGCTGAAGGCTATGTTGTTAGATTATTTTTTTTTACTAAATTTCCACTTTTGCTAAAAAGGATTTCAACACTTTGTCGTTTCACTGCTTCAGCTCTCTGAGATGTTTTTATTATTATCTTTATAATCAATGATATATTCGAACCAACTTTGACCTTTGTATGTTATTACTATGTATAGTTAATAACATTTTGCACTTAATTTTTATGTTGTGGTAAATTCTCAGTCATTACGAAGGGCGAAAGTTAGTCTGCAGCAAACATTTCCTGGTATACAGAACTGCATAACAGTGTCAAAGATGTGCATTGATTAGGTTGCCTTATAAGCATCAGCTGTAGGGAATTTCCCTTAAGCTCAGCGGTAAAGTATCAGGCTGGCCGGGAGCCAAAGATCGCGGGTTCGCGCCCCAGCGACGGCACTATCTTAACCACTATTCCTTGTCCTACTACAAATTGGTGCTGTTAACCCTCCCCGTTAGAGGTAGGAGAACCCTTAGCAGGGAGTCAAGGAACCTCGGTTGGTGATTGAAAAAAGGGGGGAATAGTGTAAAAGATGTGCATTGATTAGGTTGCCTTACAAGCGTCAGCTGTAGGGAATTTCCCTTAAGCTCAGCGGTAGAGCATCGGGCTGGAAAGCCAAGGATCGTGGGGTCCAGCCCCAGTGACGGCACTATATCTATTACTATTCCTCGTCCTACATAACAGCTTTAGCATTAGATGATATGGCTACTGTTTCAGAGTGTGTGCGTTCATCAATCATGGTGCGGAGGATCAGTTCTACGCCCAGGTGTTCCACTGTGAGCCGACAGCTGGACCACTGTGTAAAACCATAGAGGCAGCTTGTAAGGTAAAGCCAGAAATAACCTAGGTCTGTTTCTTTGTTATATTTAAGCCAGTTCCATCAATACTGATAATTTAACTGACTTGTGGAAGCTCATATTGTGCTAAAGTTAAAATTTCCCTATAATTTGTTCATATTTATACCATGCACATGTACATATAACATTATTCACGACAAATTACCCAAATAGTATGTGTGGGCTTATCTGATTAACAAACAAACAGCTGTTAAACATTTCTGAATGTAACTGTCAAAACTTAGTTATAAATTGTATTTCACAAAAATCATGTTTTGTTGATGCCTTTAGCTGCGGTACCAGAAGTGTTTGGATGCCCACCCAACAACCCCTACCCCCAAACAACCCACAGGCAAGGTAAGAGTAACCCTAAATCCCACCCCAACAACCCCTCCCCCCAAACAACCCACAGGCAAGGTAAGAGTAACCCTAAATCCCACCCCAACAACCCCTCCCCCCAAACAACCCACAGGCAAGGTAAGAGTGCCCTAAATATCACACTAACAACCCAAACCCCCAAACAACCCACAGGCAAGGTAAGAGTAACCCTAAATCTCACACCAACATCCCCTACCCCCAAACAACCCACAGGCAAGGTAAGAGTGCCCTAAATATCACACTAACAACCTCTACCCCAAAACAACCCACAGGCAAGGTAAGAGTAACCCTAAATCTCACACCAACAACCCCCACCCCCAAACAACCCACAGGCAAGGTAAGAGTGCCCTAAATATCCCACTAACAACCCAAACCCCCAAACAACCCACAGGCAAGGTAAGAGTACCCTAAATATCACACTAACAACCTCTACCCCAAAACAACCCACAGGCAAGGTAAGAGTAACCCTAAATCTCACACCAACATCCCCTCCCCCCAAACAACCCACAGGCAAGGTAAGAGTGCCCTAAATATCACACTAACAACCCAAACCCCCAAACAACCCACAGGCAAGGTAAGAGTAACCCTAAATCTCACACCAACAATCCCTACACCCAAACAACCCACAGGCAAGGTAAGAGTAACCCTAAATCTCCCACCAACAACCCCTACCCCCAAACAACCCTCAGGCAAGGTTAAAGTAACCCTTATTCTCACACCAACAACCCCTACACCCAAACAACCCACAGGCAAGGTAAGAGTGCCCTAAATATCACACTAACAACCTCTACCCCAAAACAACCCACAGGCAAGGTAAGAGTAACCCTAAATCTCACACCAACAATCCCTACACCCAAACAACCCACAGGCAAGGTAAGAGTGCCCTAAATATCACACTAACAACCCCTACCCCAAAACAACCCACAGGCAAGGTAAGAGTAACCCTAAATCTCACACCAACATCCCCTCCCCCCAAACAACCCACAGGCAAGGTAAAAGTAACCCTAAATCTCACAACAACAACCCCTACCCCCAAACAACCCACAGGCAAGGTACGAGTAACCCTAAATCTCACACCAACAACCCCTACCCCCAAACAACCCTCAGGCAAGGTAAAAGTAACCCTTATTCTCACACCAACAACCCCTACCCCCAAACAACCCACAGGCAAGGTAAGAGTAACCCTAAATCTCACACCAACAACCCCTACCCCAAAACAACCCACAGGCAAGGTAAGAACGACCCTAAATCTCACACCAACAACCCCTATCCCAAAACAACCCACAGGCAAGGTAGTAATGGTCCCTTAGTAATCTCAATTCAGGAACCCTTACCTCCAAAATGTCCTCCAGGTACATGTTGGTAAAATTTTATAACACTAACCGAAATTCAAGGACCGTTTTTAGCTGCCTGCTAGCTTCTGACACTTTTACATCACCTACTCCTCTACTTGTGATTGTCTTTTTAGTAAAATCTGCTCTGTTTTGTCAATGATTTTCTTATGTTTCTTAGCTGTAGATATGTCATGTGATTCTGATCCACTTTTATATGTACATGGTAGATTTTACAGTACCTGTGTACTATTGATTTTGTAGATATATTGATGAAATATGGGTACATAATTTTACAACAATATTACATTCATTTGGATTTTCTGAATTTCACATTCAGTTGTGTTTTATTTCTGCTTGTTCCATGTATATTGTATTATAATTTTGACTATTTGAAGTAAATTTTATTATAATTTTGACTATTTTATGTATAGTGTATTATAATTTTGACTATTTTATGTAAATTTTATTATAGTTTTCACTATTTTATGTGAACTAATTTTATTTATTGTAACTGTCTATTATTGTTTTGTGTATATTGATATTGTTTTGTTCTCCTTGTTTTGTACCCCGTGACCCTAAAAGACTATAAGTGAAGCCCTCAAATCTGGTGCCCAGTCCGTTCAAGCAAGTGTCAAAACAGGGGCCCAGTCGATGCAAGCTGGGGTCAAAACAGGGGCCCTCAGTGTTCAAGCAGGGGTCAAGACAGGGGCACTTAGTGTCCATGCAGGGGTCAAGGCTGGACTATCCAGTGTCCATAGTGTATTTACACGATTTAAAAGTAAAGCGTTGAGTCCCAAGGAGGAAACTCCCACAGCAAGCTGATGATGAGAGTCGGCCTTACACAATGTAAGATATAATTGTATTGGTTGTGGTTACAATAACATATAGAAATTAATCAAATATTAAAATTCACTCACCAGTTCTAAGTTACTTACACAAATAGTAAATGCTTACTCCTGCTGATGGCTACATAACTCACTTATAAATTGGTTGTTCTACTATCCAGCCACCACTAAGCTGGTTGTTCTACTATACAGCCACCACTAACCTGGTTGTTCTACTATCCAGCCACCACTAACCAGGTTGTTCTACTATACATCCACCACTAACCTGGTTGTTCTACTATTCTACTATCCAGCCACCACTAAGCTGGTTGTTCTACTATACAGACACCACTAACCTGGTTGTTCTACATAACTCACTTATAAATTGGTTGTTCTACTACCCAGCCACCACTAAGCTGGTTGTTCTACTATACAGACACCACTAACCTGGTTGTTCTACATAACTCACTTATAAATTGGTTGTTCTACTATCCAGCCACCACTAAGCTGGTTGTTTTACTATACAGCCACCACTAACCTGGTTGTTCTACTATGCAGCCACCACTAACCTGGTTGTTCTACTATCCAGCCACCACTAACCAGGTTGTTGTACTATCCAGCCACCACTAACCTGGTTGTTCTACTAACCATCCACCACTTACCTGGTTGTGCTACTATACAGCCACCACTAACCTTGTTGTTCTACTATACTGCCACCACTAACCAGGTTGTTCTACTATACTGCCACCACTAACCAGGTTGTTCTACTATCCAGCCACTACTAACCTGTTTGTTCTACTATCCATCCACCGCTTACCTGGCTGTTCTACTATACAGCCACCACTATCCTGGTTGTTCTTCTATCCAGCAACCACTAACCTTGTTGTTCTACTATACTGCCACCACTAACCAGGTTGTTCTACTATACATCCACCACTAACCTGGCTGTTCTTCTATCCAGCCACCACTAAGCTAGTTGTTCTACTATACAGCCACCACTATCCTGGTTGTTCTACTATACAGACACCCCTAACCGGGTTGTTCTACTATCCATCCACCGCTTACCTGGCTGTTCTACTATACAGACACCCCTAACCTGTTTGTTCTACTATCCATCCACCACTACCCTGGTTGTTCTACTATACAGCCCCCCCTAACCTGGTTGTTCTACTACCCATCCACCACTTACCTGGTTTTTCTACTATACAGACACCCCTAAGATGGTTGTTTTACTATACAGCCACCACTAACCCGGTTGTTTTACTATCCAGCCACCACTAACATGGTTGTTTTACTATACAGCCACCACTAACCCGGTTGTTTTACTATCCAGCCACCCCTAACCTGGTTGTTTTACTATACAGACACCACTAACCTGGTTGTCCTACTATACTGCCACCGCTAACCTGGCTGTTCTACTATCCAGCAACCACTAACCTTGTTGTTCTACTATACATCCACCACTAATCTGGTTGTTCTACTATACAGCCCCCCCTAACCTGGTTGTTCTACGATCCATCCACCACTTACCTGGTTGTTCTTCTATACAGCCACCACTAACCTGTTTGTTCTACTATCCATCCACCACTAACCTGGCTGCTCTACTATCCAGCCACCACTAACCAGGTTGTTCTTCTATCCAGCCACCCCTAACCTGGTTGTTCTCCTATACAGCCACTACTACCCTGGTTGTTCTACTATACCCCCACCACTAACCTGGTTGTTCTGCTATCCAGCCACCACTAACCTTGTTGTCTTGCTATTCAGTCATTTTACACTGAACTTCACTTATCAATCTTCTTTTTCAACTATCCAGCCACCACTAACCGGGTTGTTCTACTATCCATCCACCACTACCCTGGTTGTTCTACTATACAGAAACCACTAACCTGGTTGTTCTAGTATCCAGCCACCACTAACCTGGGTGTTCTACTATACAGACACCACTACCCTTGTTGTTCTACTATCCAGCCACTACTAAGCTGGTTGTTCTACTATACAGCCAATACTAACCTGGTTGTTCTAATATCCAGCCACCACTAACCTGGATGTTCTACTATACAGCCACTACTATCCTGGTTGTTCTACTATACAGCCCCCACTAACCTGGTTGTTCTCCTATCCATCCACCACTTACCTGGTTGTTCTTCTATACAGCCACCACTAACCTGATTGTTCTACTATCCATCCACCGCTTACCTGGCTGTTCTACTATACAGACACCCCTAACCGGGTTGTTCTACTATCCAGCCACTACTAACCTGGTTGTTCTACTAGCCAGCCACCACTAACCTGGTTTTTCTACTATACAGACACCCCTAACCTGTTTGTTCTACTATCCATCCACCGCTTACCTGGCTGTTCTACTATACAGACACCCCTAACCTGGTGGTTCGACGATCCATCCACCACTTACCTGGTTGTGCTACTATACAGACACCACTAAACTGGTTGTTCTACTATGCAACCGGCACTAACCTGGTTGTTCTACTAACCATCCACCACTTACCTGGTTGTTCTTCTATACAGCCACCACTAACCTTGTTGTCTTGCTATTCAGTCATTTTACACTGAACTTCACTTATCAATCTTCTTTTTCAACTATCCAGCCACCACTAACCGGGTTGTTCTACTATCCAGCCAATACTAACCTGGTTGTCCTACTATACTGCCACCGCTAACCTGGTTTTTCTACTATACAGACACCCCTAACCTGTTTGTTCTACTAGCCATCCACCACGTACCTGGTTGTTCTACTATACAGCCCCTACTAACCTGGTTGTTCTACTATACTGCCACCACTAACCTGGTTGGTCTACTAGACAGCCACTACTAACCTGGTTGTTCTACCATCCAGCCACCACTAACCTGGGTGTTCTACTATCCAGCCACCACTAACATGGTTGTTTTACTATACAGCCACCACTAACCCGGTTGTTCTACTATACAGCCACCCCTAAGATGGTTGTTCTACTATACAGCCCCTACTAACCTGGTTGTTCTACTACCCAGCCACCACTAACCTGGTTTTTCTACTATACAGACACCCCTAACCGGGTTGTTCTACTATACAGCCACCCCTAAGATGGTTGTTCTACTATCCAGCCAATACTAACCTGGTTGTTCTGCTATCCAGCCACCACTAACCAGGTTGTTCTACTATACTGCCACCACTAACCAGGTTGTTGTGCTATCCAGCCACCACTAACCAGGTTGTTGTACTATCAAGCCACCACTAACCTGGTTGTTTTACTATACAGACACCACTAACCTGGTTGTCCTACTATACTGCCACCGCTAACCTGGTTTTTCTACTATCCAGCCACCACTAACCGGGTTGTTCTACTATCCAGCCCCCACTAACCTGGTTTTTCTTCTATCCAGTCACCTTTAACCTGGTTGTTCTTCTATCCAGCAACCACTAACCTTGTTGTTCTACTATACAGCCACCGCTAACCTGGTTGTTCTACTACCCATCCACCACTTACCTGGTTGTTCTACTATACAGCCACCACTAACCTTGTTGTCTTGCTATTCAGCCATTTTACACTGAACTTCACTTATCAATCTTCTTTTTCATTGTTTAAAATATAATATACTTCTCAGCATTAAAATGTTTTAAAATTTGCAAAACTCCATTGGTAGTGAATTGAGAATGATAAATGACAGTTTAGTCCTTGCATATAATATTCAAAATGAATAGTTACCTCACAGTGGTAAATGTCATACATGTACACACAAAAAGATTGACTTTCCATTTCCTTATATTTCATCAGTTCACAAATTATTTAAGATTTTTATAACCAATATGATTAGTACATATTGCAATAAATAAGAAGTGATATGCCTCAAAGTCGACATGGTACCCAATGTTTAGAATTTCAACTTTTATTTTAGCCTGTTCTTATCCACTTTGGTGTTGTGTATTGGTGTTACATATTGTAGTTGTTGCTTTTGTTTCTTTTTTTCATTTGAAATCATTTAAAATCTATTTGTTTATTTGAAACATTTTAACACTACGGAGATGCACAAATTCCCTTTTTTAAGTAATAGCCACAGACAGATTTTGAAAAATCCACACAGTATATTTTCTTAACAAAAAAAGGAAATTTGTGTAGGTCCAGACATAGAAACGAAATTACCCCAGGCGCTGGGCTAGTAGAATTGTAATCCACTCCAGTAACTCTGTAGTTAACTCATTCACCCCATTATTTCATAATGAACTCATCCAACCTTTGAATTCGAAGGGTTCAAATGTGTCTTCAGGGGTGAATGAGTTAAAAATACGGAAATTTGATTTAAAAATCAGTACCAGTCTACCAAGGTTCCATGGTAAAATAACCTTGAAAACGCACAACTTGTTTGGTCGTTAGGCTTAGATGACAGTTTTGATGCAGTTGGTTGAACTAATCCTTCGGCTGGTTAAGCTAGAGTTAACCTTACTAATCCCTATGATTGTATACATGTATATCTAGCATGTGAAAAGGCTAAACTTTGTAAACTGATATATTTATTTGGAAAACATTGAAATTAAATGAAATAAACAAAAACAGTTGAATTAATTCAAGATAATATTCTTATGAAAATGGATTCTTCAAAATGGTATGCCTAGTAAAAAATTACGAAACAATATATATAATTTAGCTAGTCACCAATGGCCCAACAAAGTAAGCTTGACTACCTATTTGTACAAAAACATGTTACAGTTTGTACTCAAATAGAAAATGGTCCAATACATGTGTTTTTTAAGTGGCTGTGCTAAAAGATATGAACCTAATTAGGAAATTCTTTTGTTTAACTCATTCACCCCTGCAGACACAACTGAACCCTTCCAATTCAAAAGTTGGAATAGTTCATTATGAAATTCCAGGGGTGAATGAGTTAAAAATCATTTTTGAAATAGTTTAATTGTAATTAACATTGATGCTCCACCTGTTTCCAGTGTGTAGACAATTAAACTACAATGTATCAGTAACTCAATAACTAAAAGACAAATCTCCTCTTCTTCCCACAGACCTTGGGTGCTTGCTTCAGACATAGTGTCCAGAATATGATTGAAACTCTCAAGTCTCCCACCAAGTAACCATGACGACAGTTGCTAGGGTGGTTTTTCTGCTTGCGACACCCTGCCAAACGGAGCCTAGCTGTCATACAGGAAGTTCGTGATGTCGTGTAATTTTGGGCGAGCTACTGCAGACTTTACATTTGTTGTTACGATGAGGTTCCTGTCATGTACTGCACATGTTACCTGTGGTCAGATGACACTCTTTGTGAAGTAGCTGTAGATAGGTGTACATGTGTAGACACTCAACATATAGGTCATAGGTCAGAGTAGAAGTCATAGGTCAGGCATGCCAATCAAAATGTCACTATCGTACAATATACATTGTGATTATTACAATTTTACATAAAAATATTGCTTTTGACTTGATGTGATAATGTGAACGTTCCAAGCATTCATGTGACATTGATTTATGATGTGAATGTTCTTAAAGCATCCACATGACACTGATTTATAAAATAGATGGACCAAACATTGATAATCACATTGATTTTTTGATTATTTATTTTCAACCATATGCTTGATGCATTGAATATTATACATGTACTATAATTATGTATATGTCTTAAGCATTCGATGTGTAAAATGTTGAATTGTCAATTTTGAATACTACATTTTGTAGATTGTATCACCAAGCAGTTTATTAATATAACTGTCTTGTATTAAGAGTGTTAATGGTCAATCTTTGTTTTCATCGTAAACTTTTACATAATTACGAATATGTTAGAATAGGACGTTGCGATAATTGATTTATGAATTGCAATATATTTACTACATCAATGCTTTTGCTATGTTTACGATTTGGTAACATAGCGATGCTTACGCTACTCATGTAGTGGTTGCGTTCATCACTAACTGTGACACTAAATAATAGTTGCCATGGTTACATTTGTCTGTGTGCAATATCAATCACTCACACCCTCGTTTCTAGCATTAGACATTGACCATATCGCTGTAAAGTGTTCATCTGAATGTGTCTCTATAATATTATTGTAGTGAAAAGATCTGCTTGTATCCTAAAGTTTCTCACACATAGATCATTTTGATAAAATCATTAAGAGTCTCAATTCCATTTTTATTTATTCGAAGTAAGATTTTTATACTTAATAATATCCTTTATATCCGAGTAGTAACTTAAATCATAAAAAACTGATAGAAATGTAGATTTTAAATCTTATACACCAAAAATGCATTTTATGTTTGATTTTAGTTTTCCTGGATAAGGTTTTAAAACCATCATCATGGATGGAGTACTTGTAATTCTTTTTGTAAGATCTTGTTTGAGATATATATGTACCCGATAGATCTGGGATATGAGATCTTGTTTTTATTATTATCACATTTTATCCTTGTAATCAGTAGAAGTTACTTATGTCAGCCATTAGAAGACATCAATGTCTTTTTGAGAGGAAAAAAAATGAGATTTTATTTTACTATTATTCAGATATTCAGTCATGTCTTTGTATTTCTTGTAAGATTTTTTATCGCATCTTTATTATCTTTTATAACCCTGATTCTTCATATGTGTACAAATTTATTCTTAGACTCATGGCCAATCTAACCACTAGCTAATTTGTAAGATCTTTATAAGTTATACATCACCACCTATTTATATATATCTTACTATACAGAAACTTTTCCCCCTATTAACTTGTCCTGTCCATGTGTTTCTACATTAATAAATGGAGCAGTTTGATTTTCTCATTTTGAGATCACATATTTATGCAAGCTTTTATGCTGTGTTTACAATTTTTTCTTCCGAATATTTTTGTTGTTAGTATTTTTTAACTTCGAAAATATTGAACATTTTTTTCCAAACCAGCTGCTTTAACCCTGCAAATACATGAAATTATAATGTTGACATTACTTTATAAAAAAGTGATTAATTATAAACTGTATCATTAACTGTTATGAAAAGGAGATAAATATGATAATTTATTATACAAATATAGAACATAATGCTTATCTGGTGTGTAATGAAAGTTGTATCATATTAATATTCAGATTGTGATATGAAGAGTTATTTCCCTTGAATCTTCAAATGCATACATATTATCTCTAAGAACAGTTATTCACACATACTGCATTTAACCTAGCTTGTAAGGAAATGATATGCTAACAAGAAATACATTACTCCCCATATGTGTTGTTCTTGATTTGTTTTCAGTGATTTATTTTATACTATTTAAAATAATATATGACCTGTATATTTAAAGTTATTTTACTTACCGTAACATTGTTCTAAATTTGCATTTGTACTTAATTGAATTAGCAAACACAATTAGGGCAATTTATTAAACATATCCCAAGCAGATGTTATCAGTACATGTAATTAGATTTAAAAATAATAGATCACATCTGCACATTAATGAATGAAAAAAATATCTCTTTGAGGTTATATTGGAACATGTATTTAAAAATATCCCAACATCTGAATTTATAAAAACAGATCTAGCAACAGTGCCTGAAAAAGCTTAACATTTAACCCTTTCACCACTGTAGACCATAATGGACTCATCAAGATCAATGCATGGTAGAGTCTACTAAAGTTACCAAGGGGTGAACGGGTTAAAGACGTGATCAACATTTTCTATCTTTCTCTGCTTTTCTACCTTCCAGGATTTTTATAGTGCCATAGACTTGCTTTCATTTTTTTAAACTATTACTTTAAATATGATGTAGCCTTTGAAACTGAATTTTATCTTGTTTTGTGTTCCTTTTGGTTTAAATAATTAGAATTTTTATAAATGTGCCTGGTAATCTTGTTAACTTCATCGTTGTGTAAACCAAAGGATTTTGGGCATTTAGTAAAACAGTTGTGATATTTAAATATTACCTTTTACAAAATATCAGTTCTCTATTGTTTATGATTATAAAATGCTTTTGCTTTTTAAAATCAACCCTTAACCCAATTTATTTGTGCTTCCGCTATCTAGCCTGCGATAGAAATATCACGATAAATATTTGACCGTAGATTTCTGTTGAAGGAGGAACTGACTATATTCCATTGAATCAGTGCAATGTTGTTGTAAAATTTGTTAATTATCGTTGGCTTGTTACAGGTTTTTGACAAACAATTTTTTAATTCAAATCAAATCAGGATATTTACCTGGTTATGTTTTATTAAAGAAAGATTTATTTATTTATTTATTTTTTTTTTTTATTAAATGTCATTTTTGGCCTATTAAAGATGATATTTAGGTAAATATAAATTGTAGATTTTGTGTGATGGACAGAATGCTGTGCACTTTTGTGTGAAATCTAGTAAATTTAACAATTTGTCAATAACTTCTGACCTTTGTGGCTAGAAACACGACACAAAGTAAACATAAATGACTTTTTATCATTTGTTTTTGATTGAGATTGTTTGGATTGTTTTAGCTTTAATTTAAGGAGAAGTGATAACAGTACCGTATTATTGTTGTATTTATTATGTAATTTATACTTGTATTGTGTTAACACTGCGTAACAGTTTACACACATCATAAGGCTGTGTATATCTAGGTTAGTGACTTTACATAGAGGTGTATCACGTTAAAAAGATAATCATAGACTACTTGTAGTATTTAGAGACTACAACTATCATATATATCTATATGTATTTCCTGCTGTGTTTCTGGACTACTCACAGGTAGCAATCACAGGCAACTAGTGATAGCATACATGTACTACTGGTACTGTTCACAGACTACTTGTGATGTCCATGGGCTACTTGTAGTGTTCATGGGCTACTTTAACTATTCATGGGCTACTTGTAGTGTTCATGGGCTAGTTTGAGTGTTCATGGGCTACTTGTGGTGTTCATGGGCTACTTGTGGTGTTCATGGGCAACTTGTGGTGTTCTTGGGCTACTTGCAGTTTTCATTGGCTGGTTTTAGTGATCATGGCCTACTTATAGTGTTCATGGGCTACTTATGGTGTTCATGAGCTACTTGTAGTGTTCATGTACTACTTTAACTGTTCATGGACTACTTAAGTGTTCACGGACTACTTGTGGTGTTCATGTACTACTTTGAGTGTTCATGAGTTTATGGCACTGTTCATGGACTACTTAAGTGTTGATGGACTACTTGTGGTGTTCATGGATTACTTTTAGTGTTCATTGATAACTTATGGTGTTCATAGACGTCTGGTAGCATTCATTGACTATTGGTCGAGTTCATAGACTCTTGCTACTACTTGAAGTGTAGTTTTGTATTAGCTTTACATTCCAGTCCTTGATGGATCAGTTTATACCATTATTTTACCTGTAATTATTTCAGGTATGACACAAGAGATGCTGGTGTGATGTAAATGGTTTTCTATTTAGATTGATGTCGTGTGACACAAACTAAAATGTGTCTCCTTTCAAAATTTTCTTTTTTATATCAGAAAGACATGCTTCCTTCAAATCCATGTTACATAAAGTAAAAAAACACTACCTTCGTTCTTTGAAGTGCAAAAGGTTCAAAGATTCCATTATTTGTGGTTAAAGATATAGTTTTCTATCACCCTTCACACAATTAAGTCATGTATGTCCATTTCAAATGGATATTATTCGATTAACTTTGTTCCCTGTGTTTGTTTTGTGAATCTTTTGTTGGTCGTTGGCCTGTGTGAATGCCTTGTCTAACACACAAAACCAAGGCGATATGTACAGTTTTTGATATGCTTTGTTGGCCAGTATTGATAATTGTGTTATTTTTTTGTGTGTTTTGATGAGAACTTATTACGTGTATTTGTGGATATACACTGTGTTATGTTACATTATATATAAGGTTGTACTCCATTGTATTCCCAAGTTATATATTAAATCGCGACAAGCGTGACTTCATTGTCTTCTGTCCAATTATATCACTATAAACCTTGATGCATAATGTTGTATTTTAATTAGCTTGCAAGCAGGTAGCCATGTTTAACCTTTAGTAAATATAATTTATGATTTGTAATTCGATGGATTTTTTATTTGTCTGGCTGGAAGGTTTTATCAACACATCAGGATTTGTCTCCCCTTGCCTGCTCTCGTCTGATCACAAGAATCATTATCAAATGAAATAAATATTTCAAGTTTTAACATAAATATTAATTGTTACATCGTTGATTTGCTGTAAGAAAAAATTAAGATTTAATTTTGAGAATCAGTTAAATGCATTTAAAAGTTGTATCTTGATAAAACTTTTTCTCTTCCTTTTTTTCTCAATTAATAATGGAAATAACTTTTTTTCTATCAATACCTATAGTTCTTTGATTGTCATGTTTTTCTTGTTACCATGCAAATTGTTAATACTTTCCTGTCTGGTCCGTTTCTATGTATCATTATCATACCACGGCCGTATCTTTAGATGTTCTTCCTCGTCACTAGTGGCAACGCTTTATCACACCACCATTTTGTGTTGTCGTGGCAATGTCTGGTTATACAAAAGCTTCCTGTTTTGTGACTTGTATTATCGCATCAACACCAAATTTGTTGAAGGAATCATGACGTGGAATAAAATCAGTTACCCATATCAGTCAACAGTCTTGTTTTTATTTCAACTGAATCTTCGTTTAGGACTTACTCGGTCATCACTTATAACTCACCATTGTCAACATCTATATTTTAGTCAGAGACTATTATGGTAAACAGCTTGTGAAGCAGAAGTGGCACATCAAATCTCTGTCTCTACAAAGGGGTCTTTTTAATGACCTAGGACACAGGACCTACAATTTGGAGTTTTAATCCAGAGATCCTTCTATTGACTTTGAAAAGTTGGATATGTTTGGTGAAGTTATAACACCTGTGGGAAGTCTACAGTTGAGTGAAATTGAAGGCTGTCCGTCTGTTTTGAGATCAGTAACTTACAATGTGACCAATCTGTATTCAATATATTTACATTTTGTGAGTGTATTCGGGAAAGTTCATATACATTGGAATTGCTTTTAACGTATTCACCCCTGAAATTTCATAATGGTCTATTCTAACCTTTGAATTGGAAGAGTTCAAATGTGTCTTCAGGTTTGAATGATTTAATGTAAAAAGTAACATTTTACCCAGGCAGTTTCAGGACTCGCACAACTAAATCAGCCAATCAGCAAGTGTTTCTTACGTTTGTAGTCCCTATCTAAAATGAGTTCCGGCTAATTACTGGGCCACTGAGAAAGTTTAATAAGGAACTGATGATAGATTTTTAGATAGATGAAATGTTCAGGTATTTAACTTTTGAAAAATGTATACTTTTGACATATTTCCATGTCTGTGTGCGGATTTGCACAGGGGCAAAATGTCTGGGGGCGTTTCTGTTTTGGGTCACCGGTTTTGCTTGTAAAATTCCGGTTGTCAACTTTCTGGACGCTGTGACACTCTAATATGCCACTAAACCTATCAAAGAAGTCGTTTTGTAACCTTTGCAAGGTATGTATTTATGAATCTAGACACTTGTCACCGGTGTTGAACTTCAAATATTAAAGTTATTAGCTAAAATGTTCGGTAATAACATATAGTAAATGATTTAGTTGTCTGAGTCCCTTCACTATGGACAGTTAGCTTTAGTTGCTGGTGGAATGGGAATTACTTCCCCTCATTCACTGCAGTGGTGAACAAGGCATTGCAAACATGACTGGCCAAACTGCACAAGCATTTGTGGTTAAGAACTTAAGTTTTTATCTGGCATTGTCCAAAGACAGAAAGCTTTTCAAACATTTCCACTGATTTTTACAATATTTCTTCACCTAAAATCACCAAAAATGGGTTTGGACTGGCTACCATTTTGAAAATATCAATTTTCCCCCTGAGCTTTTTAGACAAAAACGAATCAGTCGGCCAGATGAAGCATACCCCATATTTGTAAACAATGTTTGATCAAAAGAATCGCATCTTTCTAACGTATGCAGTAAATATACCATAAAAGGTTTTAATTTCATCACGTCGCCTTTTCCGCATTTTTGCATCAAAGATTTCCAAACTCTTGACATCACGTCATTGTTGAGCCATTGTGACCTCACGTCACGTGAAATGGGGTGTAAGATAGAAATTTCCTACACCCCTTTCTTACCCTTGACAGCTCTATTTTACACACACATGGAAATGAGAGAAAACAAAGTACATGCATTAAGATTATTTCATTCCAACCCATTACGGTATCGGGAGGATATAGAATAAAGTCAACTACAGGATAACATATCAATATGCTTTATCGCATTATTGTTTAACACTGTATTCATACTTCTCTTTTGTCTGAGGAAAACATGATATTAAGCAAAACATGACATGGACAGATGACTTAATGATAACAAAATTAACTAATTCACCCCTGAAGACACATTTGAACTCTTCCAGTTCAAAGGTTGGAATAATTCATTACGAAATTTCAGGGGTGGATGAGTTAAAGATATGAAATAAATGATAACATTATCACAATAAAGTGTTTTTTTTTATAACTGTACATGTCTTTAACACAAAATGTTTGAAAAGTTGTGCAGCATTGTATAAAACCTCAAACTGATGGTAACATATACCTAAATAGTAAACACGAGGAAACATTGTAGATAGGTACATGTAAAATAAAAATAAAACATTAAATGTTACAAGAACATGCTTGCCAACTCTCCCTATTGTGAAGAAGGCTCCTGATTTTGGACCCTTGAATTGAGCATTTTCAACCAGAGATTTGCTAAACTATTCCTCTTCTCTAAGATCTGATGATTTCATATGAAAGAACAGCTCAAAAGATGCCTTTTAAAAGTGCCAATTTTTCCCTAGGGTGTACATGCACACATTATTTTTATGCTTTTAATTCTGTGCAAGCTGAATCTCCCCCATGGAAATATCAAAAGGTTGGCAAGTATGCAGTACGAGACCTGCAATGCTCATTTCTGCAGCAGGATGTGTTTCTAGTTATGTTAAACATTAACCCTAACAGGCAAGCTACCGCCAATAGCCCAGTCAGAATCATAACCCTACTAGTACAAGAAATAAATGTAGACTCACTAGTTTCTATTTGTCATCATAGATTTGATCTAATATCCAGGGAATATCTGTACCGAAATGAATCATAACAGCGGTGGCCACGTGGTTAAGGCGGCCGACATTCTGCTACCACTAGTCCTCCACCACTGGGTCGTGGGTTCGATACCTACGTGGGGCAGTCGCCAGGTACTGACCGTACGTCCGTGGTTTTTCTCCGGGAACTCCGGCTTTCCTCCACCACCAAAACCTGGCAAACCTTTTAATAGGACGTAAAACACATACAAACAAGAATCATAACTTTCTCCTTTGTATGGTCCCTGGGGATTCTGAGTTGAAAGGTTACAGAAAAAACAACATGTTCTTCTAGACAATGCTAAGTAGAAGACATCAAGACTAGCAATTTAAATTTTGAGGAAGATAATTTAAAGCATGATATTCATGCTTGTCCTGATTGCTCAAATAAGATTTGTAAATTGAAATACAGCTTTTGTGGTACCACGATATTACACATGAAATTGATTACAAAGCACACGATCACATTATTTGGTGAAGTAGAGCAACGATTGATATTTTCCCTCAGAATTATTTGAATGTATTATACATTACATAATCCACACTTAAAAAAAGGACAGCAACCTGTTAACGACTATTATCTAAAAAGTCAGGAGAACAAACAGAACTTGAGAGATCGTGAGACACTTAGTACATTCTTGGGCTCATTATATAGGTGTGTATACAAGGCAGGGGGTTACCTGTCAAAATATCATGATATCTACGTATACATTCAACAATAATTACTTTCTGATGGAATCACAAAATAGTCACCGATAACATGCCACATTATACTGAGTGATACATAGCCTAATTTATTGATGATGAGCCAAGTTGCCTGATCCATACAAACCTAATTTGTAATACTCTAATGACATTTTCAACCAAATAAGAATATTCCGAGCTGATTTACCTGGACACAGCAAGCCTAGCTAGCTATCACTGTTTGTGTATGTATTACAAAGGATTTTCTAGCTTTGCTTCTTTTAACTCATTCACCCCTGAAATTTCGTAATGAACTATTCCAACATTTGAATTGGAGGAGTTCAAATGTGTTCTCAGAGGTGAGTGAACTAAGGGCATATGGGTCAAATATGCTTAAAATTTCAAATAATTTGTACTCGAATATGATTATAGCGTAGTATCGCGAAACACGGCTTTATAAGGTGGAGGGCTATATATGAAGTTTGTTCAAATGAAGAACCTTGGCCCACTTTCAAGGTCAACAGGGTCAAATCTGTTAAATGACCTTAACCGAACCATAATACTTTTGAGGATTAACAGGCCAGTAACATATAACTGCTCTGGTTGATAGCCATCCATATTTGTTTATATTTATGACCTTGACCCACTTTGAAGGCCACTAAGGCAAATGGCCCCCTCAACCAGTAATCATGAAATAATCTTAAACTTAAGTTGTTGCTCAGTCAATCACACATGACGTCACTTTTGATGATATTTTTTTTGTGATTTGTTAAGTCAGAACTTATGATAATTTTAGACTTAAGATTGTTTCATGATCTCTGGGCCAGTGGTGTTTTGTTTACAGAAATATGGTTTGTAATTAAGATTAACTTAAGTTTTCTGAGAAAGGCTGCTAAAATTGGGGAACTCAGAATGAAAGTTGGATGAGCATTAGAAATCATTCCACATTTTGCCTCAATTTTCAAATCTAACATTTACTTATTTCTGACCCCTCTATCAATCTGATATACATTAGGATTGGCTGAAATAACCGGGATAGGTTTATCACTTGTAAATTGACACGAACTTGTAATGAGAGTAAAAATCCCAGCTGACATATTTTTTTCCTTCCCATGTAATATATTGTATTAAAAAGCAAACACTGTAATATCTATTGTAGTTTAATATTGGACCAAACCTGTGTCATTTCTCATGTGTAAGGTTAAAGCTGTCAGCTGTGCACCAGACACTGTTTGAACTTTACAAAGGAAATGTTATGTTGCGATATTCAATCTCACTGGGTCGACATATCAAACCCCCATAACAATACACCATATAACATACAAGTCACAATGGATTTACATTTGAGTAGCAATGCATTTGGTCATGCCTTATTACGGACCCCCACTTGAATTTCTGTGTGCAGTCAGTATATAGTTTTTAAAGGGAAGTTGACAAAAAACAAAAAAAAATCAATAAACATATGTTGAGATATTTTCTGTATTTTCCTTTTTTATACATTTTAAAGAATACTTTTTCTTCTCACTTATATATACATAGTTACCAGGCCCCACTTGTATAAAACATCTCATTGCTTGAGATTTTCCTCAACTTTGAGATGTTTCATACAAGTGGCCACAGGTAGGTTGAAGAATACTCAAAAGAAACTCTATTATTACATCACTGACACCGTCAGATTTATCCTACCTTTTAGTGTTTCAAGATTTAACTATCTTTGTTAAGAATTTACCCTATGTCAGGAAGTCTGGTTTTGTTTGTGTTTCACGTCCTATTAACAGCTATGATCATTTAAGGACGTGCCAGGTTTTG